GGGAGGATTTGGGTAAACCGATTGCAAAATTTAACCAGATCCTTCCAAATTTTATTTTGTTTAACCCAGTTATTTAATCTTGAATAAATAGGTGTTAAATAATTTTCAGAGTAAAGGCTTTAGAAAATACGTTCCAATTTTCATTACACTGTATGGCGTTTCGTTAACCAATGTGATCGATTATATCGGGAGCATTTTTTATTATTCTACTCGAAGCGATCTCGAGAATTTTGCGGGTATCATTTTCATCAAATAAAGTTTTTTTTTAAATTTTTATTTAGAACTGAGCGAGATGTCAATAATATCTGTGTAATAATGTTTGTGTCAAATTAACTTACTATGGTCATTATATCTTCATATATTCGGTCGCCTTTGAATATATTTGTACAACTTGGCCATTAGCTGCAAATTGTGCTTTGCTAAATGCAATATGTATCTTCAAAACGTGTGGTGTGAAAACAATCGCTTTCTGGAATTCTACACCTACCTGCAAAATTCTGTCTCGTCCTTTCTTCTGGAAAGAGTGGAGTTATCTTGGTAGTGTTGGGAAACATTTTAAAAAAGTTTTTTGTTTAATTTCTACAACATTTTTTTTGAATGGGTAGCTCAGCAAGAGGGGTTCACATCAGAAGAATGATTATTTTCCGTATCCCGTCTTGACAAAGCCAGCCGGATATCGAAAAATAATCAAAGGTGTACGTTTCCTGTTTTCACCTCTAGTTTTGAGTCTATTCAGCATTTCCTGCATCACCTATTTTCACAAAGATGTCAATGATAGTCGTACCGGGGTAGGATGGTCGCCAGTAAACAATGCCAATGTAGTGTTTTTGATCCACGTCGATATACAAGTCATCGACTTTATCTTCCACATCGGTACAAACACCGACATTTTCATTCCGATCGGGAATGCGGAGCAAGTAAGTGATATCGGGGGACTACGCCACACTAAAGATCACATGACACCATCACTACATTTTCTTGTAACAATGGAATATTTCCAATCAAGTAGTTTCACTAGGCTGGCGAATTACCAAACCTACGAGTGCTTCGATGACGGAGTCTGCTGCTCACTCCGATATAGCCTGGTCCGTCAACACTCGTACTGACAAGGCAATCAATTATCGTTCGAACGAAATGACCCAATATCGGTATATTATGATGGCACTGCGCCGTTCCATATATCTAGTCAAGTGGAATAAACCAACAGATAAATATTTAATTCGACAATAGATTCGCTTCACATGTCCTAAAACTGTTGTCAGACTTCATCAGTCATCGTTAAATCAACAGATTTCAGAATCCATAAAAATTACCTTCGAAAACCTTCACGCGACATTCGACAGGATAAGCAATATATGAAAATAAACCACAGCCAAGTCAGTAAATGATCACTCTCAACAACGAATCGCGTACTTGTCATGGAAAGGCGTTTTGAAGCTAATTTAATGGATTATAGTCAGATATTGCTTCCAGAAGTAGGTCCGACTAAGTGAATTTCGCTGTTTGATGTCTGGCAAGTTTTCGTGGATAATATGAAATATAACAATTAAACATCATTTATCTGTCGGTTCCAGAGATATACATCGACGGTGAAGTGGCCATCACAACTTTCCAGACGTTGGGCCATTTCGTTAGGTAGACAAGAGTTACCTACCTTAGTAAGATTATTGACAGACATGTGGGTACCTGTGGTTCTATTCAGCACAATTTTACTGCCGGATTCTATTTAGCAATATGAATGTTAAAGTTGCATATTACAGTAATAAACAACCACCTACGAAGTATCGAAACATTGCTCAAACGAGTGTGTTGTGAAATAGATAACTACATAACGGAATTTTCCAGTCACTATAATGAGACTTCCTATATACCACTTCCAACACATAAAAATTGCAAATATTTGTTGTGAATAAAGTTTTTATTTTTTCTCTTTTTTTTTTTGTTTCAACACAAAACAAACTTCAAAATCGAATTTTCTTCTTGCTTCATCTTCTTTGCAAGACTTACCTTTTTTATTCCCTCGGCCAGCTTCTGTGTGATCTGGATTCGGTCATGGCATCTTCTTAATTTCATTTCAAATTACAAAACCAGACACTTGCTGTGCAATTTAAGCTAGAAGTTCAAAACAAAATTTGCAAAAGAATCTAATCGAATTTGAATTTTTTCCTTATTAAAATTGGTTAAGACTATGCCAAAATGGCGTTTTGATTTTATAGATACAATAAACCTCCAACATTCGGCCAATCTTGGACGGTCTTGTCTGGATACCTGTTAAAGACAATACATGGGATTAAGTATAACATCCCATTCTCGTACTTCTGAATTAGACCAGTAAAATTCCCTTCTATTTATGTCAGATATCTTCTTTCGACGGAGAACTTCACACCACAACTATATTCGCTGTAATTTGCACCATTTTCATACTACCCATCCCCATTCTTTGTAATTAGAAAGAATGAAAAATACGTTCTCTCTTTCGAGCATTTCATACAATATTCAGGCACTTAAACAAGACTGCTGAACGTTACATCGTAGTACTGTACCTTGGTGGATCAAAATCACGTTTACCTTATAAATGTGCAAAATTTTACGTTTTCCCATATTTGAACTCTAAATTATGTTAAATATCAATAGGTCAAATTTATTCTGCTTTACTTTTGTTTCCAGACTAGTTACTTTTCAATGTCACTATCTGTGAACCTACTTCAAGACGAATGCAGGACAATGAATTACTCATTTCACAATGCATCTAATGCTTTCAGAAAATCTGTAGCCAAATTTCAACCAGCCACATCATTTCCTTAGAACTGCTTGAGCAACGTTTAGAGTTTTTTTTTCTTACCCTTTAAAAACAGGACATTACAGAGCAACCTGAATACCATCGTTTAGCTCTCTGGAACGCGACTTGCAAGGAATGTTTTTTCTTTCCTTGACAAGACTTGAACGTTCAACAGTGTATCATTCCCACACCACAAAAAAAGAGAGAGTTAATTGAAGTCTATACTCTGGCTCGAGAGATATCTTTGTAAATGCTGTCATTTATAATATGCTCAATGCATTAATTTTTCAGTTCTAGTTGTAAAGAGCTCTCCTAGTCCTTTGATATCCATTTAGTCCTTAATAAAAAGACAATATTTCACACTGTCATCTTCGTTAGATATGGTTAAGTATGGATATTATTCACATAGACCAACTACAGGCAGGTGTTGCATTTGTCGGAAACGTGCAATCCACGAAAATTGTTTCTACAAAATAAATTCCTATTAAAACAAGCAAGGACATACTAACGAAATTAAGCTTGGTGGAGGAAATTCAGTCAATGTGAGAGCCAGAGTATAGTCAGAAATATCAACAAATTCAAAGACTCATTTCATCAAGGTCAACATGGCATTCATCAAGATCAATATGACCTTCACATATTCTTCATAAGTATGCAACTTGATATCATATGAGCACTCCGTTTCTCTTCTGAACATTTGCAATGTGAAAATTCCAGTACACACTAAAATTAATTTCTTTTAGATTTTCGAAGTTTTTGTTTGACATGCACTCGACATGTAGCAAATGCGATTCTATTTTGTACGAATGTGTCGATTATGTATCCATGTGCTGAAAAGTTTGAGGGGGAAATGACTGTACACCGTGAATTTTAAAGGATAAATCTCTGCACGAAATATTTCAGCACAACCACTAGCAAATTCACAAAGTTCTATTTGTATTTTACACTTTTCCCTAAAAGTTCTGTTGCTTTCCAGATAGATGAACTTGCACTTCATTGTTAGGATTTTGAAGAGTTTTAGTTGCCACCTCTGTGGACAAAGTCAGATTTTCAATCATTTTTCTTTTTATCTCCCCTTCTTTTTATAATTTTTTGTAATTTCTTTTTTCTGTGAAGGTCTATTTAATATCAAGTTGCCAGGTGACAGCCTTCCTTTGACAACCACATTACCTGTCAGAAGTCGGTCCACTGGGTTGTTGGTGGTGGCCCAGACTGAATGCAGCACACTGGTCAGTGGGGACAGCCTTTCAGATCCCTGGATGGGAGCAACAGGCTGTGGGAACCTATATGCAGCAAAGTTTGTTCGACTTCGCCAAACATTCAGTTCCAAACCAAGTGCCAAAACTAAACTATAAATTATCAAAACTACATGAACTGTTTAAATCACTTTTGAATTGTTTTTCTTGACAAAATCTGCTTCAAATTAAATATTTTCTTAAAAAAAGGTTTAGTAATTTTTTGATTAATTTTAAAACTTTTTTTTCTGATCTTTTCTCTTTGTTTTTGTTTTAAATTAACAATTTCAATGTTTTTTGGTGGCGCATACTTTTTTAAGTCAGGAAGAGAGAAAAAAAGAAAAAGAGAATATGTTAGTATGCAAAAAGATATGGGAAATGCATACATGTAACATAATTGGGGAAAACAATGCTATGTTAACATTTCATTTGAAAATACATATTTAGAAATCATAAAGTTATCTTTCACTATAAACTGTTACTTCTTAACAAGCATGACTATGAATTCATGATTCTAGCATGATCAAAATAATATCCCTGCAGTAAACTTTTTCAAACAACTTGAAACCAAACCAACTGAACTGAACAATTCAATCAAATATGCTTGAATTCAATGTTAGAAACAAGGAAACCCTTGCCAATCTAAAGCACAATTAAGAATGATTTTTGTTTTCACAGATCAAGATTCTTTCAAACTTGGTGCTTATGATTGAAAAGGGTTTCACAAAACAACCAGAAATGCAAAGCACTTTTGTGAACATGACCAAAATAATGCTTCATTTGTTGTTTTCTTTTATATTCTGTTTGCATGCAGGTTCTGGTTCAGGTTAATTAACGAAGTGTGTAAAATTGTAGGGTCATTTTTTTCCTGTTCAGTAAAACAATATCCTTCAACTATTAGCCATTATAGCAGCTTGCAGATTTTTTGATGGTTTTTTTTTTTTTTTTCCCCACTCAAAATCTGAACAAATTGGCAGAGCCAGAAGTAAAAGTATTACATTTTAATCGTGAATTATGATGAAGGATAACTACAATGACACAGACCAAGAACACAAAAATTTAAAAAACAAACACGATGATTCAATTAATTTCCATGAAAATAAAGTCAATGATTTTTGAATTACTTTCCACAATTAAGATTTTTTGTAGAAACTATGGTCCTTTTAAAAATATTCATTTTAAAAATTTCATGATGATGAACTGCTGCATACTGGCAAACCAGTTAATTAAGAGGTATTACGACCTCAAGTATCCTTTCAGAATGATTAGCCTGCCAGAGATTCCTTGGTTCCAAGATGTCTGTATTGAACTTTCAATCAATTAAATCATGTCTACATGATCATAGTCTTTTGATGGCAGATACCAAATAAATCCCAAAGATAATGCCATATCCTTCTCCAAAGGCAGAATTTTTGTGCAAAGATTATTTTTGGCAATTTTCTGGTCATTCCTACAGGGACACAGTAATTTTACACCACTTAACAAAGAACTGAAAATTATTACTAAAGGTTGACTTCTCAACCCCAATTTTGCCCATATGAATCCTGGTACCACTGTGCATCATTGTATCCTCCACCATAACCACCCGATTGGTCAAGAGGCTGCTGTGCGATGGGCTGGGCTCCCCAATTATCTTGTGTATTGCGTCGTTTTGTTTGGGCTTGTCCTAATTCATTTCCTGCTTTTCTCTTTCCTCCTCGGAACTGTGGAACTGGTTTTGGTGGGGGTCCACCACGGCCCCGCATGGCTCCCCTAGGCCCTCGCATAGCTCCTCTTGCTCCCCGCGGTATCATGCCACCTCTAGGACCACCACCCCGTGGTGGTACGCCTCCTCGACCTCGAATTGGCTGTGGCAAACAATACATGTATTTATATCAACATTAAAGGTTTGCTTTGACAGAACAGTAGAAGTATACAATATAAGCATTTCAAATGAATCCAAAACAAAAATTATAGTCAAATTCAAACAGAAAGGTACATATTCAAAATTTCACTGCAACAGAATTATGTACATCATCAAAAGAATATCTTCATTTTTTAAAAATATTTCTCCCATCTACTGTGGATTCATTTATTTTCGTTGGGTTCAATTTTCGTTGTTTCTACAAATTAGACAGTTTCGTGGACTCATAAATTCGTGGATTTTTGATTCTGTGGGAAAAAAATAAAAACGTTAGAATTTTCTCTTTTTGCTTCCAGTCGAAATTATTTCTGTTTGTATTAAGGCTATGTTCACAGGAATTAACACTAATGACAAGAATAAAAGAACGTTTTTTTTCAAGATGGCGTCCTGTGTTTTTATAACGCTGTTTACAACAGTCTCGCATTAATATCAAACCACAAATCAGTATATATCCTGGCGTGTAATCAATCGGTAATTATCAGAAACAATTGTTTTCAGTGGATAAACATTGTGTGCTGATCAGTCGGTGTACCGCAGTCATATGAAAACACCACGCGTAACGATTGGACCATGTGTAAACAGGTGTGTAAACAAGATCTGCATTATTAATAATTATTGTGAACCTGTAGTCGGATAGAAATACGGATCCAATCTTCAATCGACAGGATGGTCCGATCAAGCCTAGTGTCCACAGTGTCGCTAACGACTGCGATCCCATCATACTTAGCATCACAATGGGTACTTACCCTTTGTTATGTTTAATAATATATAATTATATATCGTTGACACCAATTTAGCGTATCCATGTCGAGCCTCAGACTACCCGACTCCCGACTAATTACGGGGCTTCTGTCATTACCGGTGGACGTTTCCGGTGTCGGCAAAGATTACTTGGTCAAATTTCAAAATTACTTTAGTAAGTAGTTCATATTTCGTTGTGTTTTTAAATTCGTGGATTTGCTCATCCACGAAAACAACGAAAATTGGACCCCCACGAAATAAAATGAATCCACAGTATTTAAGACATATCAACATATTTAAAGGACGTATCAACCTTGCAGTGAATTAAAGCACAATAAATTTAATTGAAAATCCAAAAGCAGTCATAGAATTTTAACAGAAGGGAGACTTACTGGTGGTGGTCCGCCACGCCCTCCGCGTCCACGTGGTCCTGGGTGGTAGCCATAGTCATAAAAGTCATCATAACCATAGCAATCATCATAGTAACCTGAAAGATTTGCACAAATCACCGAATTTGTAATAGTTTTAGACACTTCACAAAATTTTTCCAGGAAACTGAGGTAAGTGAAAACCAAACATCTAATGCATATTCATATTAAAGACCATTAGGATTTCAACTCACCATAACCCCTGGGAGGGATTGGTGGACCTGGGCGCCTCATTCCTCCCCTTGGGTGCATGGGTGGCCTCATTGGTGGACCCCAGTAGTCATCATATCTGTGTACATCATTACATGTATAACCCATGTTAATACAGAAGTGGAAATCATGTTGTCAACACCAAAATTGTTCTAAAATTTTTTAAACACATCTTCATGTAAGGAAACCTGTAATCTCTGAAAACACAAGTTTCATATTCACAACCGGGCAGTTTATCCTGCAAAATGACAATGCAGCAAAAAACCTGTACTGCAAGGGACACAAAAACTTGTATTCAAAATTATATATCTTACCCATAGGGACCACCTCTTCCAACAGCCATGAACATTTGCCTTCTCTCCTGCTCGCGCTTTCGCTGTTCTTTCTTCTTATTTTCGGTAGGGGGCTTGGCCATGGACACTTCAATTTCCTGCTTGCCCAATTTCTGCAAAGGAGATTCTTTAAAATCACCTTTTCACCAAGTACTACATACCAATTTGTTCACTGTAGCATGAAAAATGTGTTGAAATAAGGAAGCTATAAACATTATGAAGCTATGAAAAACGTTTTTAACTGATGATGCACAATGTGTGGGTCTAGATAATGATTAGGATAATTGCTTAACAAAATCTTTCAAAACAAAATTTCCCCAAAATCTTCAGGCAAGAAATTCTGTCAATAGAATGTTTCCAAAAAAAGGTAAGTGACCTACATTTGCAAATCATGACAAGTATGTAGCAAAGATCACTTATTTTTCAATTTTGACAAATCAAAACGGACGCCTTACCACAGAAATTTTCTCCTTCGCAATTATTCCTAACAAACCTGCTGAATGTATCAGTAGTTAAATATTTTCCGCAAAAGTGATAGAAATACTGTTCTTAAATCTTTCTCATATCTACAGATAGAGAACCTGCAGACTTCGGAAAGTTTAAAAGTTTTATCTTCACAAGCTGGCAGCCAACCCTGCAACCGACAATGCTGAGAAGGACCTGTGTTGTGATATTCAAAGAGTACAGAGTAATACCCACCTGGCCATTCATGTCTTCCTGAGCCTTAACAGCATCTTCTCTTTCTTCGTAGTGGATAAAACCATAATCCTTTATCTTTTTTGCACGTTCAATCTTGCCATATTCCCCAAATTTTTCTTTCAGAATTTCTTCTGTGACATCACTTGTGAGATTCCGCACATACAAGACTTTAACCTGAACAGAAAAAGAGTTGCTCAAGTCATCATAAAAAAAAAAAAAAAAAAAATTCAAAGTGTAATCTACAACTAGTATGATGGCTGCATATCAAGATATTTTCTCTCTAAACTAACAAGTTATGCTCTAATATTTCTCTCTAAATAAACACAAACTCCCAACTTGTAGTTGGACAATGATAGATACCTTTGCCATTGTACTGTCATCTGGTTCGTCAATTGGATCTGCCCAGTCTACAATAATATCACAGCCCCACACTTTGATTCTGCCAGAAGCCAATTTCCTCTTAGCTGTTGATGCAGATTTGTGAGAATCATATTCAAGGAAGGCAAATCCTCGGTTCTTTTGATTTTCCTTTTCAGCAGACCTGTATATGATAACCTGAGACAATCCCTCTGGAAAAAAAAATTTTTTTTTTACTTCTTAGGTTATTTCAGAAAACTTAACAGAGGAAGTCAAGGTTTGTAGAACACCCAACCACTAGGAAAGGTAAATATTTACTACAGACAAAGCATCCATTTCCCCCAGCAACTTGCATACACAAAATTACTTTACCTACGAAAGATATACCTTACCGCAAGTTCTGTTACAGATTCAGCATAAACTTCACTAAAAAAGGTCTTTCATATAAGACTTGAGCGTCATGCATTAAATTAATAAGAAAAAGATCAAAGCTCTTGATCACAATGATGAAGAAATTTCAAATCTTTCCCAGTTACCTGTCTTTTTTGAGAATTCTTCATGTATTTCTTCCCGCGTCTTGCTTTTTGGGATGTTTCCAACAAACAATCTCTGGTTAGCAACGGAAATGTTTACTTTGATGTGTTTTCCTTCTTTAATGGCATGATTTTCAAGCTGTAAAAATGAAATGGATCATTAATTTGAAAAAAAAAACATACAATGCTCAAAAACTTTAACAGAAGTCGATTTTGTGAAATTTAAGGGACTACCAATTTCCTTTTCGTTTACCTTGCTTACAGCTTCCTGAGCTCCAGATTTTTCACAGTATGTCACAAAGCAATAACCCCTATTGAATCCAGTCATGGGGTCCATCATGAGACGCAAATCCCATATTCTTCCACATTCTTCAAACAACGGTATAAGTTCATCCTCAAAGACATCTTTGGGGATTTTTCCAACAAAGACCTTAAACAGAAATAGAAAGATTATTGCAAAGGCAGCAATATAAATGACCCTGCATGGTGTTGAAAATGATGACTATTGATAAATTAGCATTGATTTTGCTGTAATGAAATTGTGTGTAAAAAGAAACAGCACATCATATTTATTAAACTATTCGAACACAATACATTTGTGAAAGCTTATTTTCATTTGGTCACTGCAGCATTGAATTTGGACATATACAAGTCTACTTTTCTGAAAAAGGCAAGAAATGTGCATCCAGACATTCTTTAAGACTTCAAATTACTTCATGACCAGGTCCTGGTGGAGTTGCATCCTCGTCTGTACCAGGAGGGGGGCCACCATATTTTCTTTGCCCTGTAGTCACATCTAAAGAGTAGCCCGTCCTGTCCAATATTTCCTGAATGAACAAATGTAAATTGACAGCTCACAAGAGGAATTGATAAACATAATCCAACTTTCAAGGAATTCAAAATTCAACAGGACATATTTAAATTTTAAGTATTTAAGCCATATATGTTCTTTTCCAATTCTAATAATTACTTAACTGTATAAGCCTTGACATTTTCCACGCCATTGTAAAGGGATTGTCCTGTTTATTAAAACAACTCTGATTATCTTTAGTGTTCCCAATAAAGAAATGCCACATTTTTTTACCAGGAATAATTCTGTGCGGGAGTCCAAAGTCCTGTTCTCAAAAGATTTTTGCTGGGACTTAAAGTTTCTGAAAATACTTCAGCTTCACAGTAAGGGACCCATTGTCTTTAGCAATGAAGTTGTAAAGGACTCGCAAAAATACATTGTAGATTGATCACAGTTTCCCCCCAGTTCATACAGTTTTTTCAAACATGACCTGCAATTCATTTTTGGGAATTTTATTCGCTACCGTTTCCTTATCACTGATCACTTAACTTGATTGTGTGTGCACTTCATTGTCATGTGTACAAAAAAAGGTCTGGCCATAATAGCATTGCACAAAATTAGACAATTTTATGCTCATTATTGATATGCCTAGTTACAACAAAAGTTCTCATTCGAGATTACAGGAATTCAACCAAGATTCCATAACAGTATTGTCACATAAGCATTGAACAAATTTTATTGAGAGTAATTGTGTTGTTTGCTGGGATAATACTTAAAATTGTTTTTGATTCAATTTTCACCCCCAATGGCCAATTATTAAATGAATTAAAACAGTGTTTGTTCTGCCAAAAAAATTAAATTGAAGTTATTTTCCCAATTTTATGAAAATTATGTTATATTATGATAATTCAGATCCAAGTGGTGATATCCAAAATTGCTGTAAAAGTCCTTTTTGTAATAAACTGAGATCAAAAGGCTTAAACTGATTCTCGGCAATATAACATATCAACAAGTCTTACTTTTAATTTTTGTTCATCTGGTCCTTTTGCTGTAGCTGCCGATGATCCTTGTTTTTTGTTCTGACGATAAGTTTTCATCATTCCACATAAAAATGCACTTTTGTTTGTTACATGTTCTAAACAACTTTCACTGAACTGTTTAAGAACTGCAACACCATCATCTGGGTTGAATTCTTTCAGAGCATCCAGCGCTCTTTCATCAAGTTCGTCATGGTCAAGTTTATCTACAAAATGCAAACATTTTCTGCAATATTACTTCGTCTTAACTGAACCTTCACAAAGAATAATGTCACATATGTAGTAACAATAAACCACCTATCTCTCTCGATTACTTACCTTGATTGCACATTTTCTGGAGCTCATCAGCAACTTTAACATTGATTCCATAGTCCAAAAGTTTCTGACGGTTTTCACTTTTTAATTCGCTGGTGTCCATATCTTCTGCCAAAAGTTGTTCCTCTGCCGCTTGATCCATTTCATTTATTCCATTTTGAGCCATCTGATTTCTGAAAATGGAGTTCAACTAGTAAATGAGTTTTGCTAGATGTTTAGTTGTCTACAGATGGTAAATAATTCTACAATACAATGAATTAAAAATATTCAGCAATGAAATGAACACATTTTACAGATGAACGCTCCCATTACAAAAAAAAATTAAATTCTGAATTTTGTCCGACCTATATGCATTAAATACATATCTTAAAGATCTATATAGTCTTCGATATTTATAAAGCAAAGACTCTCCCAGAAAATCAGTCTTTTCAACAAAATTTCAGCATCCTATTCCTTTTTATCGTTGCTTTAAGACAATACTACTTCTTTCGTTTGATGTTGCCAATGCAAGAAATCAAGTTTATGAATATGTAGGTATCACTGTGGAAAGCCGCATGCAATTCCCAGCTTACTTTTCTATGTGTATCTAGTTTTTCTTTTCCTTTTATGATAAAGCGACATCATAGTTAAATAATTATTTTAAGAAATTGATAATGTGGGTTCTTAATGGCCAGTTTGACCCTCTAATTTTTTTGGAACAATAGGTCTAGACCTAAAAGAAATTCAATGCTAAGATGTATAATTTGGTTACAACAATTATTCCCCTCTCCCCCAACGAATATGCCAAAGCTTTCACATTTTATCGATGTTTCAAAATGGCTGGACAACCGAAGCGGGCGTCATTCACAATTCAATGTCCATGCACAAGGTTTGTTAACAATAGGTCTATACCAATACATAGACAGTCTTCTGCGATCGAAATGGCAATGTGCTGTCTTTATTTCATTGTCTAAAAGGTAAAATTATTTTTATTAAAATATTAATTTATTCCTTTTGCTCTTTCATGCCATGTAAAAAATCTAAGCCTACAGAACCGCTAGAACAAACCGGTCCGACTGGTTTTGGTGCAAATTAGGATTCATGTCATGTTACTTTATAGCAAAGTGAAAGCTTAAATTTGTTTCTAAACAAATAAGCGTGAAAACAATTTTCAGATGTTCGATTAGAAATTTCCGTCAACGGATTTTGCAGGAATTAAGCAGGTGCGCGTGGGTAAGGACTTTCCGTTTATGTCGGCACGTGCATCAAACCAATTCCCCATCTTTCTAACTAATTGTTAAAAAACTTAACGTTTAAAAAGTAATTGCAATGTACATACCTTTTTTTTGAACAGGGGTGCCAAAAAATAAACGTTTTTAGGTTCAAATTCCTGAACCACACACGCCTAAATCGACATAAGCGGCGAGAAAGAATGAAAATTTGGGGTTTACACGTACGAAATCACAATCATACTCTCTAACCTACTTTCATAAACAACAAAAAAAACCTCTTTATTTCCCCTTTTCATCTGTAATTTTTTTTATAAAATTACACCTTAAGTCCACAGAATTATTTTTTGATCACTTCTTTTTCATTTGTCCATTTGTATGCTTTTTATTTAAGTGGTGTAAACAAAGCCTGCGCTCGCCGGAAAAACCCGAACATGGCATTTCCCGGCTTCATCGATCGTAAGGCGTGAAACGAAAGGCGCTTGAGGATTAGAATTTTATTGGAAAACCATTTGGAACTTTACGTCAGTTACCAATGGGCGCGATTTTGTTTCGTTTGTTTTTAATTGTTTTAAAATCAACTAAGAGTAGTCCATCCCTTCAGATATTATGGGATACAACTCGACTAAATGACTGTTATTATACATTTGTATGTCACCATTACATTTAATTTAAATTTTAAGGAATTAATCGTTTGTCCAGTTAAGTCCTTTATAAAGCATAATATATACTTATCACTTAAATATCATGGAAATGCATAATATAATGCATAACTGTCCCAATTTTATTTTGTTTTGGTAATTAAAAATATTTGTTGGTTTTGCTATCAGATCTGTTTTATTACTGCAAAATTGTCTTTAAAACCCCATTTTTTTTCAACTTTTATGTGATAATTATCCATATTTTTTTAAAATTTCTATTAACGCTTTAACGTAAATACATTAAAATTGATAAAAGGCATACATCACCATACTTATACTGAAATTATGATCAATTACAATGCTAGTTGCATTGTGAAATGACATGGTAGTTCAAGTATTGTTCAAGGGATTAAGGTAGCTACTAACCAGATTACCATTAACAAGAAGCCAAGCGGCCTTGATGGTCACCTGAGATAAGCAATATCGAATATATAGGTTAAAGGATAGTTATCAAGTATCATGAAACAGAAACACCCAAAACTGTCATCCTATACTGATAATTCAGATGAAGTTGTTCTCAGTGAGAAATAACCTTATGCTCAAGAATGCAATTTTTCTAAGAAAATAACACAAAAGTTTAAAAAAATATATTCCTCCCTAGGACAAAGTGCGCAACTTTTTTGGTAATTAAAGCACCTTAAGATGCTTCCATTTATGATGAGCATTTGATTCTAGCATACCTGGGTGTGGAGAAGAGGATTTTTGAAATTCGACCCCTTTTAGCTCCGCCCATCAGTCCCTGGAGGTCAGCCAAGATCAATATGGGCATACCATCACACTGTCATCCTTCACTCATAATTCTAACCAAGTTTTAAATATTTCCAATGAAAATGAAACAAATTATGCTGAAAAATCGTTTTCCTATATAAGCCATAGTAAACTTCATCTCTTTCCCATGCAGAAATGCAAGACCCTCAGGCCATGAAATTCACAATTTTGGTTAAACTCCTTAAGATGCTTTCTTCCATGCAGAGCATTTGATTTCATATCTGGATGTTCAGAGATGATTGACCCATTTTGGGGGCTGTATAATTCACAATTTTTATTCATCTTAAATAAGGGAAGGTTTCTGAAAAATTTCATTGAAATCTGATCATAGGTATTGGAGAAGTTGGAAATGTTAAATTGTTTACCAACGCAAGATGCCAGACGAAGTTGATTAGAATTGGTCATCACGAGACTTTGTCTCCGGTAAACAAAAAACTGACAAAACCAGAAAAAATGTGGGATCACTGCCTTAAAGTGCTTTATTTATAATGCAATATTTAAGATATTTAAAGGTTTTGTTTTTGAGGGTAATGAATGTTGTCATATGAACTATACATGCCCAAAATGTTACGAGTTACTGTTTGTTTAGGACATTCTACACAAATGAGAACTTACTTTTAAGGCTTAAAGGGAAGTAAAATAAGACCAAATATTCCTGTCTCTTACATGATGATTTGAAAGTCAATATTCATATCTATTATGCAGTTATTGATATTTTCACTTTTTACTAATTAGGCTCAAAGACAGAATGCAAGTTCAGGTGTTCAAAAACTGAAAGAAACTCATTCACTTAGGATGTGGCAAATCAAGCATTCCCATGTCTTGTGTTCAATCCAGAGTGCCTTGCTAACTTTTCCAGACCTTAAGGTTTGCTGTATTCATGCCATTTCAGTGTTTTCTTCCTTCGCTTTGACTTGAAATATTAAATTGAATTTCTGCTGCCATGATCAATTTTACTAATTTCAGTTTGGCAACTTTGCATATTCTACTACTCGACATGGTCCAGCGGGGTTACTGTGTACGTTGCCAGATTGTATAGTATATCTAGCAAGGCATTTCAACTGAATTTTCAAAGTCAAAGTGAAAGATAAAAACATGATGGAATGACTAAAATAAAGCAGATATTAAGGTCTGAAAATGTTGGTGGACAAGTTAACATGTTTTCAAGATTGTACAAAGACACACAAGTGATTAGCATCTGTACAGTACAGCCAAACAATGATTGAACAGTGTCGTAAGCCGTTTCTCCTAGCTAGGACTTGTCACAGACGTTAACGGCTTAAAGTTTTAAGCCTAGGAGGCAATTGGGGAAAATCCAAAGCGATACAAATAAAAAAAGTAGTATTGAAACGAACCTAAAATTTATTTTGAAAGTTGCTCAATTTACTGCATCCATGGTGGATCATTTCTACCAGTTTTGTGAACACCAATGTTCGATCTCTTAAATGAGAATGAAATTGTAAATATCAATGCCATAATAAATGTTAATTTAAATTGTTATCAAATTATCATTTTTTAGTGGTTTTTCCAATCTTTTGTTACCATAGTCCACCATTATAACAAACCTGTATGAAAAGGGGAGATAATATTAGTGTTAAGTGGTGTCGCAGAATTAATTTTAAGCTTACTCCAATATGAATGAAATGGCAGTGTCACTTGCTTAACCCGATATAATCCCAATATGGATGATGCGGCAGACTGTCCAGGGGTAAATTTTAACCTTATCCCACTCCAATATGGATGATATAGCAGTCAATCTAAACACCCTTTACCATTCAAAAATCTATAATTGACAACATTGTCGTTTTAAATTTGAAACGAACAACATTGAAATAAAGACAAATTCTTAAACATAAAAGTGTCCGATTTTATTCATGATTGATGATGAAGGATGACAACAATGACACAGACCAAGAACACAAAATGACAACAAAAAATTTCAAACGATTGTCTAAAAAAAAAAAAAAAAATTCACGTTTTGATGTTAACTCCCACAATGAATGAATTAAAAATTCTAATCATTAAAAATGTTGCTGTGGTGATCATGAACTGCTGCCGCATGCTGGATGCCAGCTGTATTCGGGGTTATTCCCTGGCCCCGTACGTCCAGTCCGAATGAATGGAATGGACGGCCCTGCTCTTTGGTATCCAGCGGTCAGATTTCCAGAACTTGGTAAACAAGGCAGGTGTCCACTTATAGCAGATACTATCTACCAACCTCCGTTCTATTGTTAACTGCAAATTCATTCCTAACTTCAGGAACGTTGCATTACAATAAGAACTTCCCGAATTTCATTCTTTCGTATTGAACACACTAGTTTTACACCACTGAACAAGAACTGAAGATAATTTAGCAGTTGTTAAGCTATCTGCTCAACCCCAATTTTGCCCATATGAGTCCTGGTACCATTCTGTGTCATTGTAGTCCCCACCATAACCGCCCGATTGATCAAGAGGTTGCTGTGCGATGGGCTGGGCTCCCCAATTATCTTGTGTATTGCGTCGTTTTGTTTGCGATTGTCCCATTTCATTTCCTGCTTTTCTTTTCCCGCCTCTAAAAGGAACCTGTGGGGGTCCACCAGCACCACCACGGCCCCGCATCATTCCCCTAGGCCCTCGCATAGCTCCTCTTGCTCCCCGCGGAATCATGCCACCTCTAGGACCACCACCCCGTGGTGGTGCGCCTCCTCGACCTCGCATTGGCTGCGGCAAACAATACATGTATTTATATCAACATTAAAGGTTTGCTTTGACAAGATGGAAGAGGCAGTCATCACATGCACAATATCATCAATCAGCAAGATTTCAACCCAAGTACCCTCTATAACTTTTCTGCGAATACATTCTCAACTACATAGCATTATCATGTATTAAAAATTGAAATGAAATGATGTAAATTATATGCAACTTCAAGATGTATTTTTTCTTTTTCAGAATTAAAATGTAAAATTTCAGTTTTGAAAGGAGAAAACTTACTGGACCCTTTTATTAATTTCTTTTTTTTTTTTGGTTAAAAATTTGCTTACAATATCATCAACTTTTAATATGATAAAAAGTTAAACTATTGTTCTTAATACAGCTTTATGTAATCGATCAATCTCATTGTTTCATATCTTTACTCTTGTTCCCCAATAGGAGTTTAAAATTAGACAAGAATACTTACTGGTTGACCTCCACGCCCACCGCGTCCTCCTCTTGGGCCTGGTTGGTATCCATAGTCGTAGAATTCATCATAACCATAGTAATCATCATAATAATCTACAAAGTATCAAGCCAAAAGCATATTTTGAAAAACACATGATTATTCAGATCTAATTGGGGTAAAATTTCATTTCATTATCTACCTTTGAAAAAGCTGAACAAAACTAACTTCTACCTTGATCTTTACAGTATCACAACTTATTGCCATACAACTTTTTAAATGAAACAAACTAGAAACAATGATTATTTGTATTGTAGACATACATTAAATTGTAAATGCCATTTCATTGCATCGCCTCAACTTAAATTTCCATTTATCGTCTTCTCTTTACCTTCCTAGGACAGTTTGACAACAAGTACACTACTTGGGTTAGAGCTACTGGCAAAATTCAGCCCTGCAATTAAATTTTAACTCACCATAACCCCTGGGAGGTATGGGTGGACCTGGGCGCCTCATTCCTCCCCTTGGGTGCATGGGTGGCCTCATTGGTGGACCCCAGTAATCATCATACCTGTACAAAGATGTATTTATAATACAATGGTATTTTGCTTCAAGTTATTCATTTTTTCTATAAACAACATCGTTATTTCCCACTGGTCCAAATGACAGAGCACTGGATATTAAGTAATGTGGCATCTTGATATGACTCCCATCAAAAAGCAATCTGCTTATACTGATGTAGACAAAGAAGACAAGGACTCCTTAAATGCAAGGAAACTAAGCTCTTAAATTAGTTATGTCCCTGCATACATGTCAGATAAAAGTGGAATTGGTTGGTTAGTGTGGCTGTGACAGCTCAGATGGTAGAGTGCTTGTGTAGATTCAAGGTGCAAGGTTTGACCCTACTTACCTGTGGCTGTTCGTGTTTATATAATATTGAAGATGACAATGCAGGTTAATTTCAATGTTGAGAAAAAAACCAAATCTTTATGCAGCAGAGACCTCCCCCCTTTAATTATCACTGTGCTATCCAACCAAAGCATGTGATAGCTACGTCTTCCCAAGGCTATAGTAAGTGTCCCTTACCCGTAATAGCCACCTCTTCCCATGGCCATAAACATTTGCCTTCTCTCTTGGTCACGTTTTCGGTGTTCTTTCTTCTTGTTCTCTATGGGTGGCTTTGCCATGGACACTTCTATTTCAAGTTTTCCAACTTTCTAGAAAATGAATGATAGTTTCAGTATTATTGAATTAATGCTGCTTCCATGACTGGCAGATATTGCTCTGACGAATGTTAATTTTTACAGTTCTAATTAACCTGGATGCATATTATAGCAAAACCATTGCATTTAAGGATTTTTTCTTCATGTGAATCATAAACCCTGATTATGAATTTTTATCATTACAGGCAAATGTTAACAAATGATAATTGTACATTCAACTTTGAAAGCTTTTTCAATAACTTAAAGAGAATATTTGCATGAAAAATAGATGAAAGTGTATATGTTGTTGAGAATTTGCTTTAAATCCAATCATTTTATAATTGCCATTTTAAATTACATGTATTTGCTGTAACTATTATCTAACCTGGCCATTCATGGCTTCCTGAGCTTTAACGGCATCCTCTCTTTCCTCATAGTGGATAAATCCATAATCCTTGATTTTCTTTACACGTTCAATTTTGCCAAAGTCCCCAAATTTTTCCTTGAGTAGTTCTTCTGTGACATCACTGGAGATATTCCTCACATATAGTACCTTCACCTGAAACAGATATTTCATATATCAAATTTATATTTGGGGGAAAAAAAAATTAAAAATTAAAGACAAGTCAAATAAAACCAAAGTTCATTTTTTTAGGCCTCATTATAGTACCTTTGCCATGGTCTCATCATCTGGCTCATCAATAGGATCTGCCCAGTCAACAACAACAGCAGATCCCCACACCTTGACCCTGCCTGAAGCTAGACGTCTCTTTGCCAGAGAGGCCGACTTATGTGAATCAAATTCCAGGAAGGCAAATCCTCGGTTCTTTTGATTTTCCTTTTCAGCAGATCTGTATATGATGACATCAGTGAGACCCTCTGGAATGAAAATTTTGAAGATGTTTCACATACTTTGAGTATTAGCACACTTCTTGTCAATGATAATGAATATTTAGGGTATGCTTGATTTTGTTGGCTTGAAATGATTGTGTGAGAGATACATATATCAAAATAATTGTGTATAAAGCTTAATCAACATCAGCACAATGATTTTTAATGATTCTCAAGTTGTAGTTGGAAATTTTCTTGGACAGATGCTGGAGCCCCATTTAATATCCCCTATAAACTTGTTTTACAGGTAATCATGTATTTTCAAGACATTGGGTATATGTTCTTCAAGGACTTCAAGGAAATCTAAAAGGAAAGTCCGCAACATCTGAACAGGCCTGAAAATTAGGGGACTGGGGAAATTTGATTTTTGTTCAAAGCAGAATAAATTGGCAAGATTATTTCAATAATATCGCGAATAGTTGTGAAAACAGTAAATATGAATGGTTGGATTTTTTTCCTTTCTTTCTTGCACAATGGGAATTGCTAAACTTAAAACTGAATTATTGTAATAGAAAACTGAATTAAAGGGTTTTAAAGAAGACGGTAAAAATCTGATCCTAATAGTCAGAAAAAGTCTCATCTTCCAAAATACTGGATTTTAATATTGATAATAATTTAATATAAAATTTGGATAAATACCAGAAAAATTGAGAGATAAAATTTAATTTTTCAGCCAGTAATAAATCACTCATCTTAACAGATCATGTAATTTTTGTATACTATATACAAGTAACGATATGGATATTGAAGCATTGTAAAAATGCCTACATCCATTAACTATCATAATTGGACCCTAAAGTACTGTTTCCTTCATATTCATCTTAGTTAATATTTCATACCTGTTTTACTAGAGAATTCTTCAAATATCTCATCTCTTGACTTGTTCTTTGGGATGCTACCAACAAATAATCTCTGGTTGGCAACAGAAATATTCACTTTAATGTGTTTTCCATCTTTAATTGCATGGTTGTCAAGCTGCAAGAGAAAAAAATTGAATTTACAAATTGGTATTTTCAAATAAATGGCCCATAAGGTCTGCATCACTAACCTGTCTGTTTTTTCCTTTAAATGAAATAGCTTATCAAACCTAAATAAAATGGGATTCAAAAAGGTTTATATTAATTTCCCTATCAGCCACCACCTTCCTGCCCCAAGGGGTTCAGCAACAACCATCCAAATCAAAGTATCCATCATCCAAGAAGGCTTCAGAACAAATTTGACAAGAAGTCCGATTTCTACAGATGGAGGAGGATTTTAATAATTTGCTCTATTTCCCATCTTGGGGCCCCCTGCCTCTTCCATCCAAAGGGTAGAGATCCAATGTACATCCTAAACTGATTCCCCTTCTTCAAAGGATGCTTCTAACCAAACTGGGACAGAATAAGTATTTCAAAGTCCCTTTCCCCAAGTTGATGCCTTTGGCTAGATTTTTTCATAATCCACTGATTAGTGTTTCTAGAAATAACTGATATTATGGCATCTTGGTCCTTGAGCTGAAAACCAAGTAGTTCAGCTCTGCTAAAATATCAAAAATTAAGTCAGAATTGAAAAGCACCTTGTTGACAGCTTCCTGAGCTCCAGATTTTTCACAGTATGTCACAAAGCAGTACCCCCTGTTGGTTCCAGTCATGGGGTCCATCATGAGACGCAAGTCCCATATTCTTCCACATTCTTCAAACAGAGGTATAAGTTCATCTTCAAAGACATCTTTGGGGATTTTTCCAACAAAGATCTGAAACAAAGTGTTACATAATATTAAAAACAACTGCTTATTCGCTGTCCTGAAGTAAACCCACTCAGTTCCTTTGAAAGAAGTTTATTGGACCCATGTGCTGATGGCAGAATGAAGTAATAAAGAAATAATTCCATCAAGTAAGCAAATTTTAAACACAATGGCAGTTATTTATTTCCAATACCAACCCTCTGTTTTCATACTGTTAAATCATACCTCATGCCCAGATCCAGGTGGTGTGGAGTTTTCTTCTAAACCAGGAGGGGGGCCACCATATTTTCTTTGTCCAGTGGTGACATCTAATGAGTACCCCGTCCTGGCCAAAATTTCCTTAAAAAATAAAAAAAGAAAAATCATTTCTTCTTTCTTAATTGCTCTATCACAAGTAATGGGGAAAACCCTTAAAATGGCTTTTCTGACAGATCTAGTGAAAATTCTTTTAATACAGGTGATACAACGCATTCTTGTTCATTGGTAATTTAAAAAGTGGTGTATTTATTATGAAAATTTGAAAGAAGACTTGAAGGAACAAACAACAATAGTATAAACAATGCTAACATTGATTTCCTACACGCTATTATCATATTTATTTTCATATGTTACAAAGTAGAGGTGGATTATAACGGACATCAAAAGGCTAAAACTGATTCTCGGCAACATAACATATCAACAAGTCTTACTTTTAATTTTTGTTCATCTGGTCCTTTTGCTGCTGTTGCTGCTGATGATCCTTGCTTTTTATTCTGGCGATAAGTTTTCATCATTCCACATAAAAATGCACTTTTGTTAGCGACATGTTCCAGACAACTTTCACTGAACTGTTTAAGAACTGCAACACCATCATCTGGGTTGAATTCCTTCAGAGCATCCAGCGCTCTTTCATCAAGTTCACTGTGGTTGAGTTTGTCTGAAATCAAGCATCATGTAACTCTTGCTTTGAAAATTGGCAGAAATCTCTCTTGGCTGATGATGTTGGTGTCTAAAGGTGGCAATAACTTTGAAAACATTGTGAATGGTTTACAAATTTCCTCCTAGGTGTTCTGCCAAAAACCTTTTCTTCGTAGTTCATAATTAGGTTCTTTGTAAACAATTTACATGACTTTATAAAATATTGCTTTCATCGAATTTTTTACTGTTAATATGTAATTAAATTTTTACAAACCTGATTCATAAATGTTCAGAACTTCATCAGCAATTTTTGCACTAATTCCATAATCTAATAGTTTTTGGTGATTTTCAAGGTTTTCGCGCTTAGGTTCTTTGGGTTCCATATTGTCTGCCAAAAGTCTTTCTTCAGTGGCCAGGTCTATTCCATTTTGTGCCATCTGATTCTGAAATGAAAAAGATATATAAAACATTTCTAAATGAACTAATTTTCAATTCTATTTTTTCATGCAAAAAGTATTAATTTGCCATGTTGTATTTCAAGCAACAGGTCATAACAGGAGATTTGTTCATTTTATCACAAAGACAGGTGTTAGTTTTTGTTCCATCCTATGTAAAAACAACATGGGATTTAAATCATGACAACAAAGCACTTGTATGACAAAATATTCTGATTATATATCGTTAACAAGAAATATATGCATAATAAATTGATCATATTATACTATTCAGTCTTAATTGTTTACAAAGGAGTACAGAATTACAGTTTTTATAAAAGAATTTGAAATATAATAGGATAAATAAACCTTTTTCTTATTGTTTCCTTTAATAAAACATACATATCAATATGTTGCCCAGTTGGTTGCATTTTAGAAAACAAATTTTCGACTTGTGGTAAATAATGGTATTTTATGACTATAAAATGGTGAGGATTTAGTATATACTTTTAGTGGTTTTTTTAAATTTCCATATCTAAAGTTTAAATATAAAAAATATCTCTATCAAATCATTTTAAATTGGTAATTGATAGTAGGACCAAAATGCGTCGAACAAAAACCTTTATTTCATGCTGTTATACGGGATATTATTTCATAGGTCGACAGGTGCGCTTCGCGAGAAACTAAACCAACAACTTTGTCACGTGACCTAGATTGTCCAATTAGAGCGCACATAATGTATAACATGAACCCAACAACACAAGAAAACAATGGACAAAACCATACAGGAGCTGTACCATTTTCAACCTTCAGAAACTTTGACAATCCTGTCACATGAAAGAGTTTATGCAATGCTTCTCATTGATACTGCAACAAATTGCTCATCAATCTGTAACCATGCAATCCCCATATATCCTCCCTCACCGCGAAAGCCATGCGGGTCGATGACGCATGAAATTGCAAATGGCGGACCGGTTAGCAAAACATGTGCTGAAGGCATGGTTCTTCATTTATGACTACTTGTGTACACGAGACAGAGCATCCATGTGCAAAATGGTAAATTTATCAAAAATATCCACAATTGGATTACGAAAACACAAACACGAGGCTGCATTAGACAGACAAATGCGATCCCGAAATCGATTAGCAGGTGCGCTTGATGTCCCGCGTTCTTACTCATTGTGTTCTTTACATACACTGATAAAAATGGCATATAAGTCTTGATGTACGCAAATTAGCAGTGAACAAAGCAATTCCAGATTGCATAGCTACGTCAGAATACACCTACCTTTTTGACAATAAAGCCGAAAATTGTTTTTTCGAGGTTCAAATTCCTGAACCTCACCCGCCTAAAGACTCATTCGGGAGTTCTCGGATGCTACAGGTCGACAATGGCACTGTACGAACATGCCTAATTAGGGAGTACTTGGTTCGCATCATATGGCAAATACTCGAAAATTTAGAATCGCTTCATACGTGTTCCATTTTAAAAATCTAAGTTGTAATTATTTCTGATAATTTGTGAACAATTTCAAATGGTATTATTTTTACTACTCTTTGGGTAGATGATAATTCATGTAGCATTAGCTAGATACACTGCTTTGGAGACGCCCTTCCCACAAAAAAAAAAAAAAATACTACCGCTACGTTGGACTATCCGTTAGACTAAAAACAAACACAAAACACAAAAGATAAAAAAAAAAATGTGTGGCTCCTCATACCTTTCAGAACCTGATTGTCCAGGTTGAATCCTGGCATTGTATTTTCAAGGTACATCTCTGATGGTATCACTAAATGATGGCAAGTCTTTTATATGAGTGTGTGGCGTTTCTCTTGCACGTTTTGATGTTCTAAAATGATCAAATACACGAATACACTGAATTTACTGAATTATAGAGTTAGTGCACTTCCCCATCAGGATTTTATCATTTAGGATTTTCCTTAGTCGCCACCTAGGTTTGAACCTTAACATCACTGATGAGCCCTAGAAGGACAAAACAGGTGGTGGACACTGCTGGTGGACTAGGAGTTCCCGGGGTGTTCCACGTTTTAATTTCATTCGAATGATGACACGGTTAAGATTATACACGTGATTCAGTCAGTTTCTTTTGTACAATCTTGGCGCCCCTTATAACCAGTGGTTACAGTCCAGTTGTTGTTGCGGGGTTCCAAACCGACCAAGCCTATTCTCCATCATTTCATCCTGACTAACCATAATATCATAACACTTGATCTCCAACTTTGTATATCGCAAATAGATAATCAGACCACAGAGTGTATGTCATTATCTTGATCGGTTCGTCCGCCCTTACAATACACACAATACAAACAGACAGACAGACAAGCATTTGGACAGCAGACAATCTTGCTGATTTTCTGAAAATTGTTATTATCGATGGAATTAGTTTAGATGTATTTCATGATTCGTCTACAATAAAAATGACAACAAGCGTAGGAAGGATAAATGAGAAAGATTGAGACAAAGTGTTTCGTTGAAACAGTTAACATATACAGTGTTCTAATATTTATATATCATAACATTGTAACTGTTTATTTACACAAAACTTGTATCAATGTTTGTTTATTAGTTTGCCGGGTTTATCGAGCCGTGAGTTAATCTGGGTCGGAGGGGTCTTCTTGTAAATGTAGTATCTGGTGACTATCTTACTGAAAACATATGACAGGCCCGTCAAATATCATCCATAGCAATGAGGTGTCTTTCCCAAAATATCAAGACAGCACTTTCCGGTCGTTTCTCGGTTTGCCGAAAACACAATTCACCATGGATAGGAGGGTTGAACCCTCACCTCGGATCTTCACTCTAGGTTACAAAAGCACAATAAGAGGTTGTTTAACTAAGCGAGGTAGATGGGTCATATATACTTCTTTTATCAGATGCAGTTTTCAATTTTGTCATTTAATTTGGAATTTTAAAAGTGGTTTTATCTCACCTTTTAGTCATGTTTTAAAAACTACAACCACTACTCTTTTACAGGTTAAGTGCCTGAAAGCCATGGAATGTGAAGTTTTAAAATACTACACAAGCTGTTCCTGAATACATACAGGATTTAGTAAAATTTTTAAAAATTTCCTTGTGAATTCAGGAGAGACACAGTCAGGATTCCACTCATTCTCTTATTAGACTGACCGGGCGTGAAACAGCCTCCCAAATGAATTGCGGAGATGTGAATCCTTTCCAGAATTCCGGAGGCTGATCCAAACCTGTTATACTTGCAACTGCCTTTTTTATGCTGCTTAGTCTGGTCAAGAAATTTGGTGAGGAGGGACTGGGACAGCCACCTGTCCTTTGACCTTCAGTAATATTGTTGTTTTACTAGGATGTATTTTTTGCTATTGTTCCTCCTTTGCTTTATGCACTTGTTTTTTTTCTTACTCAACATTATTTTCACTACTTAAATAAGTTCTTGATTATTTCCTGATTTTTACCAAAAATCAATTTCTAAATAAATAAATTCTGTGATTATGATTTAATCTTGTAATTTCATTAAGCTATGGTATTTTTTAGTTGTGTTATGTACCATTAACTCATGTTAATGCCGTGTCTATTACATTATTCATGTTTTATTTAATCTATTCCAATGTTCCTTCTGTGATTTTGTTCTTTGTGTTTGTTTTTATTTGTTTGTCGTAATAATAGCTCTTCAGTATGAGCTGATGTTACATGCTTTATTCAGAGACGTATATATACGTCTCTGGTTTATTGTAGACGACAGAAAATAAAACTACTTGTATATTGTACAATGCTGTGCCGACTAAGCTATCGCAGCCCCTATGCATCGAAGCTCAAATATGAACTGGTAAGGAAGCTGTTGCTACATATGCGCTTCAAAAATGATCAACGTTATTTACGTACAGTATTACGGCCTTTCGGCTTCAGGCGTTCTTTTGCAGCCGATCGAATACGACTTTTTAAACAATAGACCGAGGTGTTCCGAATGAAAATCGAGGTATAATCTCTAAACTAAATTAAGTATAAACTTGTTATGATCGACAAACTCGATACCATTTATGTCGATAAATTTGATGAATTTCTACATACGCATGTGTTATTTAATAAAAGGTATGACCAAATCAGTCAAAATGACATCAAAAACTAATTTTGTAAAACGAAACCGGAAGTGCTGTTTGTAAACAGATGAGCGGTCGCCGACACAGGTGTTTTTTCACATGTACAGCAATAATATGAAGAACATGGAACATCCTTTTGCATTGTTTGTCATCTTAATCATACTGATGTGTACTCACAACATAATCATAGCTGATCTAACAAAAGCACCTGGACACTTGAAACCTTTTGGACAAGGAAGACCGATGGTTGAAGTTGAAGAAACGGACATTATACCCGACCCCGAAACGTTTTGGAAAGCTTATGTTTATGCTCTTAAACCTCTTAAAATGAAAGGTGCCGCATCAATATCACCTGCATTTACAAAATGGACAGACGAATACTTTTTGTCACTCGACATGTCAAATGAAGATACAGTGACAGTCGAAACGGTAAAGAAGGAAAGTAGACAACAAAAAATACGTCAAATGGACTTTCAGCAGTTTGTGCAAGACTACAACAAATCCGAGATTTATATGGTTAACGCAGTACCAAGGACGATATGGTACACACTTTATCTGCCATCTGGCTACATTGAGATAAATGGATACAGATCATCATTATTTTTCTTTATTTTTTCCAGTGTTAATACAACAGTCTGTACTTCATTTATATAGAATCTGTAATAATCTTACATATAATTTTATGGTTTTGAATTATTTTCCTATACAACACTGTCGTCAGTTGGTAAATAATCTGCCTACAAATTATGTTTTCAGTCATGATGTAGTTTTACCCTGTCCAATTCAGTGTCAATATCTGGCCAAAACAGGACTTGTTGAGGCGGTGAGTTTCTGATCAATAGTAGGGGTGGTTATTAGTAATTAATGATACTGGTAGTTACGTTGAGACAACACAGTGGAGTGCATATTATTCCAACAGTGAAACTTAGGAAGTGGTGAATGAAGAATTAATGGGTAACGCAATGGAGATGATGGGTATATGTAATTAATGGAATGCTTCATTGAAGTTTTCTATTCAGAAAAACCAAGTTATTTAAGAAAGGTCTGGTATGATAAAGATAGATGTAAATTGTGTTGAAAACATTTAAGACAGTAACTGTTAATAACACTTAATAACTTTATTTTAAAGTTTAAGTAAATTTTTAATTATATCTTGGGTATATAGAGTTATTAGTCATAATTACAGACACAAGTGTAATTTATGCCATAATAATACATAGCAGATTAGATTTAATGTTTCATGTTTTCAAAAGTTTGGTATTTTGTCCTCTGTAATCAGATGGAATACGAAAAAACACTGGGTGCACATGGGTTTCAGCTACCATGTTTTGAGAAGGCATGGCTGATACAGAGCACATTACTAGCATATGTCATTTCACCTTGTACCCAACTTGGAATTTGCCATACTCTGAAGTTTTTCTTTTATTTATTTGATACTAACTTTTACACTAATTCACATCTCACATGAATATCTATTGAAAAAAGAGAAAGAAATTTATCTGTAATTAAAATGTCACTGTACAGTACGTAAGTATCTACTTGTCAGATATAACATTACAGACACTTATGTCTATTACAGGACTGTGTTCATCATTTCATGATGAAGAGTTTTAAAACTGAAGAGGTTAGAGTGTCTAGAGTTCAGATGTTAAAGTCCCAGTCAGACCATCAAATTTCCTTGTTGCCTATTGTTACTGTGTTGTCTTTGTTAACAGCTGATGTGGTACAGTAGTGGAGGAACAAACTCTGTTGTACATACTGACTCAGTAGACAACATCAACTGTCTGTATCGGGGCAAGAAGGAGTTCATCTTGGTTGACCCTAGCAAGTATGGAGACAAGGTAAATATTTGTGATTGGAATGATATTGAATACAACAATCATGTGGTGTTTCTAATAGTTTTGATGTCTTTTTGATATGTATAATTGTTTAATTATGTTTTATATGATGTAAGACTGTTTCACATGTACACACCCACCCACACACTTCCTAACATGTGAACACAGACACACCAATAACCACCTGCACATTCCTCTTCACTAAGTCAGCTGATTCACATTCTAGTAATTAGCACTGATCAGTAGCCTTGAGATAATTCAGGATCATTACACTTCTATTAACAGGTGGACATGGACCATCCTGAAGGTTCCTATTCTGCTGTGGATGTAGACAGGTAGGTCTCATCACCAGAAGGTTCTTACTTTGTGTTGGATGTAGATATGTAGGTCAAATGATCTGAATGTTCCTAGTCTGCAGTGAATGTAGGTCACATGGCCTAAAGGTTTCTACTGTACAGTGGCTATAGATACGTAGATCACATGACCTGAAGGTTCCTACTTTGCAGTAGATCTAGACAGATAGGTTACCTAATAATCTAAGGTCTTTGCTGGATGTCGGAAGGCAGGTGTCCTTCAACGTTATTCTCAATTATAACATAAAAGTAAAATAATTTATGATTATGGTGAAAAACAGTTTGTTCTTGCCTTTAGTTTCTGAGCCACATTAATTTTCCAGGTTTCATGCTTTAGATAAGGGTTACCATTATAACTTGAAAAATGAAAAAATGATTTCCAGTATCTTGAATATAGCACCGAACATGTTTCAAAGAAAATTCTCAAATTGTTTCTATCATTGGTATGATCACTAATGGCAGTACATTGTTTTTGAAGGTAAATTTTACTACTGTAATGTGTTCTTCAGTGTATTAACTATCATTGATGTTCATGATTAGTGTGTACAACATTTTTATAGTTTTTTGTGTCCGACATGGATAACAGTCCTTGTTGCACCCATTATTATTTGTGGTTACAGAGTCGACTACACAGTGTACCCAGGTCTGGCAGAAGTTGATTTTATACATGTCAGTATGGAGGCAGGCGATTGTCTCTATATCCCATACCGATGGTAAGTTATCAGGTGACTGTCGCTATATCCCATACCGATGGTAAGTTATCAGGTTACTGTTTCTATATCCTGTACTGGTTGTAAGTTATCAGGGTACTGTTTCTATATCCTGTACTGGTTGTAAGTTATCAGGTTACTGTCTCTATATCCCATACCGATGGTAAGTTATCAGGTTACTGTCTCTATATCCTGTACTGGTGGTAAGTTATCAGGTTACTGTCTCTATATCCCATACCGATGGTAAGTTATCAGCTGACTGTCTCTATATCTCATACGGATGGTAAGTTATCAGGTTACTGTCTCTATATCCCATACCGATGGTAAGTTATCAGCTGACTGTCTCTATATCTCATACGGATGGTAAGTTATCAGGTTACTGTCTCTATATCTCATACGGATGGTAAGTTATCAGGTTATTGTCTCTATATCCCATACCGATGGTAAGTTATCAGGTTACTGTCTCTATATCCCATACCGATGGTAAGTTATCAGGTTACTGTCTCTATATCCCTACCGATGGGAAGTTATCAGGTTACTGTCTCTATATCTCATACGGATGGTAAGATATGAGGTTACTATCTCTTTATCCTGTACTGGTGGTAAGTTATCAGGTTATTGTCTCTATATCCCATACCGATGGTAAGTTATCAGGTTACTGTCTCTATATCCATACCGATGGTAAGTTATCAGGTTACTGTCTCTATATCCCATACCGATGGTAAGTTATCAGGTTACTGTCTCTATATCCCATACCGATGGTAAGTTATCAGGCTACTGTCTCTATATCCCATACCGATGGTAAGTTATCAGGTTACTGTCTCTATATCCATACCGATGGTAAGTTATCAGGTTACTGTCTCTATATCCCATACCGATGGTAAGTTATCAGGTTACTGTCTCTATATCCCATACCGATGGTAAGTTATCAGGCTACTGTCTCTATATCCCATATCGATGTTAAGTTATCAGGTTACTGTCTCTATATCCTGTACTGGTGGTAAGTTATCAGGTTACTGTCTCTATATCCCATACCGATGGTAAGTTATCAGGTTACTGTCTCTATATCCTGTACTGGTGGTAAGTTATCAGGTTACTGTCTCTATACCCCATACCGATGGTAAGTTATCAGGTTATTGTCTCTATATCCCATACCGATGGTAAGTTATCAGGTTACTGTCTCTATATCCCATACCGATGGGAAGTTATCAGGTTACTGTCTCTATATCTCATACGGATGGTAAGATATGAGGTTACTATCTCTTTATCCTGTACTGGTGGTAAGTTATCAGGTTACTGTCTCTATATCCCATACCGATGGTAAGTTATCAGGTTACTGTCTCTATATCCCATACCGATGGTAAGTTATCAGGTTACTGTCTCTATATCCATACCGATGGTAAGTTATCAGGTTACTGTCTCTATATCCCATACCGATGGTAAGTTATCAGGTTACTGTCTCTATATCCCATACCGATGGTAAGTTATCAGGTTACTGTCTCAATATCCCATACCGATGGTAAGATATGAGGTTACTGTCTCTTTATCCTGTACTGGTGGTAAGTTATCAGGTTACTGTCTCTATATCCCATACCGGTGGTAAGTTATCAGGTTACTGTCTCTATATCCCATACCGATGGTAAGTTATCAGGTTACTGTCTCTATATCCTGTACTGGTGGTAAGTTATCAGGTTACTGTCTCTATATCCTATACCGATGGTAAGTTATCAGGTTACTGTCTCTATATCCCATACCGATGGTAAGTTATCAGGTTACTGTCTCTATATCCCATACCGATGGTAAGTTATCAGGTTACTGTCTCTATATCCCATACCGATGGTAAGTTATCAGGTTACTGTCTCTATATCCCATACCGATGGTAAGTTATCAGGTTACTGTCTCTATATCCCATACCGATGGTAAGTTATCAGGTTACTGTCTCTATATCCCATACCGGTGTTGTCAGGTTACTGTCTCTATATCCCATACCGATGGTAAGTTATCAGGTTACTGTCTCTATATCCCATACCGATGGTAAGTTATCAGGTTACTGTCTCTATATCCCATACCGATGGTAAGTTATCAGGTTACTGTCTCTATATCCCATACCGATGGTAAGTTATCAGGTTACTGTCTCTATATCCCATACCGATGGTAAGTTATCAGGTTACTGTCTCTATATCCCATACCGATGGTAAGTTATCAGGTTACTGTCTCTATATCCTGTACTGGTGGTAAGTTATCAGGTTACTGTCTCTATATCCTATACTGGTGGTAAGTTATCAGGTTACTGTCTCTATATCCCATACCGATGGTAAGTTATCAGGTTACTGTCTCTATATCCCATACCGATGGTAAGTTATCAGGTTACTGTCTCTATATCCCATACCGATGGTAAGTTATCAGGTTACTGTCTCTATATCCCATACCGATGGTAAGTTATCAGGTTACTGTCTCTATATCTCATACTGGTGGTAAGTTATCAGGTTACTGTCTCTTTATCCTGTACTGGTTGTAAGGTATCAGGTTACTGTCTCTATATCCCATACCGATGGTAAGTTATCAGGTTACTGTCTCTATATCCCATACCGATGGTAAGTTATCAGGTTACTGTCTCTATATCCCATACCGATGGTAAGTTATCAGGTTACTGTCTCTATATCCCATACCGATGGTAAGTTATCAGCTGACTGTCTCTATATCCCATACCGATGGTAAGTTATCAGGTTACTGTCTCTATATCTCATACCGATGGTAAGTTATCAGGTTACTGTCTGTATAGGCCAAAACCATGTATAGTCCTTTATGTATGTATGTATGTATGTACTGAATTAAAGGCAGGATCATGTGATTGATAAGCCTTGTAGTCTCTGGAGCAGGCTGGGATAGCTCAGGCTGTAGAGTGTTGGCCATTGGGGTTACAATCACTACATCCTCAATACTCCAGGGGATATGATCACTACATCCTCTATACTCCAGGGGTTACAATCACTACATCCTCTAAAACTCCAGTGGTTACACTCACTACATCCTTGATAATCCAGGGGTTATGATCACTACATCCTCGATACTCCTGGGGTTATGATCACTACATCCTCGATACTCCAGTGGTTGCGATCACTACATCCTCGATACTCCTGGGGTTATGATCACTACATCCTCGATACTCCAGTGGTTACGATCACTACATCCTCGATACTCCAGGGGTTACAATCACTACATCCTCGATAGTCCACCAGGGGTTACAATCATTTGTGCTTTCTGCACTCGTGGAAGATGTCATGGCAAAATTGAAGGTCCCTTGTGAGACACCTTGTGGTCAAGAAGAAAAGACTAGTTTGATCCTTTAATGTACATCAATTGAATCTCGAGGTCGCATGACAGTATATTGTATTGGCTTTGAAGTTGGGTGTTGCTCCTTTGTAATCTTGGAAAGGAGCTGATCAGTCAAAGATTGGTCTGTTTTTTCCTCCTGGAACCAATCAAACAACTTTTCTTGTGCTTTCAATTTTGCCATGACAAGTTCCAGTGGTGCAGAGAGTGAAAATGATCATAATTCTAGGAGTATGGAAGATGAGTGTTTGCCTACATAACCTCAGGTGAAGATATGAGGTATGTGGTTCGATACTCCCTACCTGTTATGCTTTGTCTTTCTTAGGAAGCTAAGAAGTGGACTGGTCTGTATTGTGTTCATTGTGTCCTTGGGAAAGACACTTAACCTCATTTCTCTGTGTGGCACGCAACAGGTCTCTGACATGTTGTTCAGTCAGTGTGGCAGTTATCAGCTACTACAAGAGGACTCCACTTCAAAGTGACTCTGGTTGATCACAAGGTGAAAACCCAGTAAACAAAATAGATATCTAAAGAGATCAACTCCAGTGAGTTGAATATGGGTACAAATGATCTTATTAAATCTTGGAAATTTTATTCTTTATCAGTTCAGGGTATTTAAAAAAAATAAAGAATAATTTGGAGATAAATTGTGTTTTTCAGGATCCACCAAGTGCGTTCGTATGGTAACAATCTTGCTGTCAACATCTGGTGGAATCATTACGTTGCATCAGAGATCAACCTTGACCTTTGTAATGCCCAGTGTGACCATGAGATGACGTTGGATCGTGTGGAGTTTAGGGGTTTTGGAGAAATGACAAGTGTGGATGGTATAAGGTTTGTAAGAACTGGTTACTACTGTCTGAGTGAAAACAGTTGGACAATCAGTCTGATGTAGCCTTCGAATTTGTTTTTTGAAGGAGACGTATAATTTCTGTGGCCTTATAATGAGGTCTTGTGTAGAGAGACAACAGTCGACCTGTATTAGTCTAGACAACACTTTACAGTTAGTCTAATGAGCATTTATGATAAATTCTTTTATCCAATATAAGGCAAAACATTACATTTCCGAAAAACTGATTTTGACTTTCCTGTAACAAAACAAATTCTAATCTTTTTGAAAAACTAAAAATATTTTTTTGTTGCAGTTCTGTCCTGGTTAAAAATAATAAATAGACTGGACTCTGTGCACCTACATAATTCTATGATGTCCTTGCTCTACTGACTTATCTGACTATTATTAAGCTTCACACACTTCTTGAATGGTTGGTTGGTTGTGAGAGGTATTATATCTACTATTTCATTGGCCAGTCTGGTGTCCAGTCAATGCTAGGAAGATCTCATCCCCTCCTCTTGATGTAGCCTGTCTGGTGCTGGGGCGTTGTCAGAATAGGATTAGATCTCTGGAAAGAATTGGAGCACAGCATGCTCAGAGTTCCCTTAGGTTCTGTCAGGCAATTAGCATTAGTCTGATGTTGGCACTCGAATGGCACACTTCTGGTTAGCTGGATGGGTACTTGTTTTCTGTCTCCTTGACACTTCCTGTTTCTAGGTGTTGCCACACAGATAAACATCATTCTGGAGACATGGAAAAACTCTCAAAATCTGTAGTTCTTGTAGCTGTCAGTATTTGGGTCCCAAGGTGTCCAAGCCTTGGTCACTTTGTCTATAAATAGAATGAGTGACCTTGAAGTCCCACAGATTTTGTTCATGATATGATTGCTGTAGACTGTATACATGTTGCTGAAAGCCTTGTTCATATTTATGTATTCATATATTAGGGTAAGAAGTAGGTGTCAAATCCTTTGTCTTGTCCTCAACTGTAAACAGTTGTCACATACTTCACATACCCTTGGTCACATACTTTGCTCAAAACCATTAAACTTTTATATGATTTTGACACAAACCTGGATTATTGGTCTTAAAGATTTGTGACAGTTTCACTTTGAAGAATTTGTTTATTTTATTTTTTAAATTATTTTTACATTGTACTTTTATTGATTTTTATCTTATTGTACCTTTTGTGTTGTCCTTCTGTCCTTCTGTCCTTCTGTCTTTCCACTAACCTTTCAGGGCTCTATCTCTTACACTAAAATTGTCACTGGGACTTCACTGAAATATGGGTTCAACGTGGCGAGGGATTGTGTCATTTATCAAAATTAGGTCACTCTGACCTACATGTTGACCTTTTAGCTACATCAAAGCAAAAGTTTGTTTTGCATGTAATTTCACATTTATTGTGGAACTGTAATTCACCAAATTATCTTGATTTTCCAGGTCTAAAAGGGGGCTTAGAGGAACTTTTATATGATAGTTTCTTTGTACTTTGTTTCTTGTTCAGAAGTGTGTATTGGTCTAATTTTGTCAGCTACTTTATTTTTCTTAATGTTCAAAAGATTGATTCAGTGTAAATACTGGTTTAGAAAACACATTACATCAGAGTCTAGAGTCTAGATCAGAGAGATTACAACAGGTGTTTTAATTACCCTGAAGCAGTACAGTATATAAATGAAAACTTGCAGGCCAAAGTTGGCATTGTTTTCACATTCTAGTCCCATCAAGTGTAACACTTGATTTTTTTTATCTGATATACACTAATATCAAAATTGCATTTTGTGACAATATATCTAAACCCTATTTTGTTACACAAGTATTATACTGTTAAACTTCTCTTACAGAATTTCCCTTATAAAGTATGTAAGTTTTGTGAAATTTTATTTTTCAGGGATCATTTTGAGTCCTTTTTAGGTGTATCTAGTCGAGTTTCCTTTAAAAGATTCCAAAGAGCTTTACTTGGGGTAAGTATACTAGCGTTACTTACAGAATGTGTGATAATGCACAATGCAACAAACATTTTGTGCGCATATGTTACATAGATCGTCTGGACATCGTGAATTCATTGTGGGAATATATGCATGATAAAGTATCAAGTGCACAACTGTGCGATAGGAATTCACTTTCAGTGCGGTTTGGTAAAAATGGTCGACTAATATTATGGATTGGAAATTAACAGAAAATAAACGGAAAACTTGTAGAGGGGTTAGTGGTGTGCCTCGGGCTAAAAGATATTACTGGCATATGGCTAGATATATGACAGGTCCTTACCGGCTAGGTCTCCTGTGTAACAAACACAACACATAAGGTTTACCTGATTCTGTACACATGACAGGTCGTTACCGGCTAGGTCTCCCATGTAACAAACACAACGCATAAGGTTTACCTGAGTCTGTACACATGACCTGCCAGGTGTCCTGTTTCTAGCTAGGTCTCCCGTTATTAGCTAGGTCTCCCGTGTAACAAACACAACACATAAGGTTTACCTGAGTCTGTACACATGACCGGCCAGGTGTCCCGTTACCGGCTAGGTCTCCCGTGTAACAAACACAACACATAAGGTTTACCTGAGTCTGTACACATGACCGGCCAGGTGTCCCGTTACCAGCTAGGTCTCCTGTGTAACAAACACAACACATAAAGTTTACCGGAGTCTGTACACATGACCGGCCAGGTGTTCTGTTACCGGCTAGGTCTCCTGTGTAACAAACACAACCCATAAGGTTTACCTGAGTCTGTATACATGACCAGCCAGGTGTCCCGTTACTGGCTAGGTCTCCCGTTACCAGCTAGGTCTCCTGTGTAACAAACACAACACATAAGGTTTACCTGAGTCTGTATACATGACCAGCCAGGTGTCCCGTTACTGGCTAGGTCTTCCGTTACCAGCTAGGTCTCCTGTGTAACAAACATAACACATAAGGTTTACCTGAGTCTGTATACATGACCGGCCAGGTCTCCCGTTACCAGCTGGGTCTCCTGTGTAACAAACACAACACATAGGGTTTACCTGAGTCTGTACACACCGGCCAGGTGTTTACCTGGTCTAGCTAGGTCTCCTGTGTAACAAACACAACACATACCGGCCAGGTGTTCTGTTACCGGCTAGGTCTCCTGTGTAACAAACACAACACATAAGGTTTACCTGAGTCTGTATACATGACCAGCCCCGTGGTGTCTCCTGTGTAACAAACATAACACATAAGGTTTACCTGAGTAGGTCTCCTGGGTCTCCTGTGTAACAAACACAACACATAAGCTAGGTCTCCTGTGTAACAAACACAACACATAAGGTTTACCTGAGTCTGTATACATGACCAGCCAGGTGTCCCGTTACTGGCTAGGTCTCCCGTTACCTGCTAGGTCTCCTGTGTAACAAACATAACACATAAGGTTTACCTGAGTCTGTATACATGACCGGCCAGGTCTCCCGTTACCAGCTGGGTCTCCTGTGTAACAAACACAACACATAGGGTTTACCTGAGTCTGTACACATGACCGGCCAGGTCTCCCATTACCAGCTAGGTCTCCTGTGTAACAAACACAACACATAAGGTTTAACTGAGTTTGTATACATGACCAGCCAGGTGTCCCGTTACTGGCTAGGTCTCCCGTTACCAGCTAGGTCTCCTGTGTAACAAACACAACACATAAGGTTTACCTGAGTCTGTATACATGACCAGCCAGGTGTCCCGTTACCGGCTAGGTCTCCCGTTACCAGCTGGGTCTCCTGTGTAACAAACATAACACATAAGGTTTACCTGAGTCTGTATACATGACCGGCCAGGTCTCCCGTTACCAGCTAGGTCTCCTGTGTAACAAACACAACACATAAAGTTTACCGGAGTCTGTACACATGACCGGCCAGGTGTTCTGTTACCGGCTAGGTCTCCTGTGTAACAAACACAACACATAAGGTTTACCTGAGTCTGTATACATGACCAGCCAGGTGTCCCGTTACTGGCTAGGTCTCCCGTTACCAGCTAGGTCTCCTGTGTAACAAACACAACACATAAGGTTTACCTGAGTCTGTATACATGACCAGCCAGGTGTCCCGTTACTGGCTAGGTCTTCCGTTACCAGCTAGGTCTCCTGTGTAACAAACATAACACATAAGGTTTACCTGAGTCTGTATACATGACCGGCCAGGTCTCCCGTTACCAGCTAGGTCTCCTGTGTAACAAACACAACACATAACGTTTACCGGAGTCTGTACACATGACCGGCCAGGTGTTCTGTTACCGGCTAGGTCTCCTGTGTAACAAACACAACACATAAGGTTTACCTGAGTCTGTATACATGACCAGCCTGGTGTCCCGTTACTGGCTAGGTCTCCCGTTACTCCTGTGTGTAACAAACACAACACATAAGGTTTACCTGAGTCTGTATACATGACCAGCCAGGTGTCCCGTTACTGGCTAGGTCTCCCGTTACCAGCTAGGTCTCCTGTGTAACAAACACAACACATAAGGTTTACCTGAGTCTGTATACATGACCAGCCAGGTGTCCCGTTACTGGCTAGGTCTTCCGTTACCAGCTAGGTCTCCTGTGTAACAAACATAACACATAAGGTTTACCTGAGTCTGTATACATGACCGGCCAGGTCTCCCGTTACCAGCTGGGTCTCCTGTGTAACAAACACAACACATAGGGTTTACCTGAGTCTGTACACATGACCGGCCAGGTGTTCTGTTACCGGCTAGGTCTCCTGTGTAACAAACACAACACATAAGGTTTACCTGAGTCTGTATACATGACCAGCCAGGTGTCCCGTTACTGGCTAGGTCTCCCGTTACCAGCTAGGTCTCCTGTGTAACAAACACAACACATAAGGTTTACCTGAGTCTGTATACATGACCAGCCAGGTGTCCCGTTACTGGCTAGGTCTTCCGTTACCAGCTAGGTCTCCTGTGTAACAAACATAACACATAAGGTTTACCTGAGTCTGTATACATGACCGGCCAGGTCTCCCGTTACCAGCTGGGTCTCCTGTGTAACAAACACAACACATAGGGTTTACCTGAGTCTGTACACATGACCGGCCAGGTCTCCCATTACCAGCTAGGTCTCCTGTGTAACAAACACAACACATAAGGTTTAACTGAGTTTGTATACATGACCAGCCAGGTGTCCCGTTACTGGCTAGGTCTCCCGTTACCAGCTAGGTCTCCTGTGTAACAAACACAACACATAAGGTTTACCTGAGTCTGTATACATGACCAGCCAGGTGTCCCGTTACCGGCTAGGTCTCCCGTTACCAGCTAGGTCTCCTGTGTAACAAACATAACACATAAGGTTTACCTGAGTCTGTATACATGACCGGCCAGGTCTCCCGTTACCAGCTGGGTCTCCTGTGTAACAAACACAACACATAGGGTTTACCTGAGTCTGTACACATGACCGGCCAGGTGTTCTGTTACCAACTAGGTCTCCTGTGTAACAAACACAACACATAAGGTTTACCTGAGTCTGTATACATGACCAGCCAGGTGTCCCGTTACTGGCTAGGTCTCCCGTTACCAGCTAGGTCTCCTGTGTAACAAACACAACACATAAGGTTTACCTGAGTCTGTATACATGACCAGCCAGGTGTCCCGTTACTGGCTACAACACATAGGTCTCCCGTTACCAGCTAGGTCTCCTGTGTAACAAACACAACACATAAGGTTTACCTGAGTCTGTATACATGACCGGCCAGGTGTCCCGTTACCAGCTGGGTCTCCTGTGTAACAAACACAACACATAGGGTTTACCTGAGTCTGTACACATGACCGGCCAGGTCTCCCATTACCAGCTAGGTCTCCTGTGTAACAAACACAACACATAAGGTTTAACTGAGTTTGTATACATGACCAGCCAGGTGTCCCGTTACTGGCTAGGTCTCCCGTTACCAGCTAGGTCTCCTGTGTAACAAACACAACACATAAGGTTTACCTGAGTCTGTATACATGACCAGCCAGGTGTCCCGTTACCGGCTAGGTCTCCCGTTACCAGCTGGGTCTCCTGTGTAACAAACATAACACATAAGGTTTACCTGAGTCTGTATACATGACCGGCCAGGTCTCCCGTTACCAGCTGGGTCTCCTGTGTAACAAACACAACACATAGGGTTTACCTGAGTCTGTACACATGACCGGCCAGGTCTCCCGTTACCAGCTAGGTCTCCTGTGTAACAAACACAACACATAAGGTTTACCTGAGTCTGTATACATGACCAGCCAGGTGTCCTGTTACTGGCTAGGTCTCCCGTTACCAGCTAGGTCTCCTGTGTAACAAACACAACACATAAGGTTTACCTGAGTCTGTATACATGACTGGCCAGGTGTCCCGTTACCGGCTAGGTCTCCCGTTACCAGCTAGGTCTCCTGTGTAACAAACATAACACATAAGGTTTACCTGAGTCTGTATACATGACCAGCCAGGTCTCCCGTTACCAGCTGGGTCTCCTGTGTAACAAACACAACACATAGGGTTTACCTGAGTCTGTACACATGACCGGCCAGGTCTCCCGTTACCAGCTAGGTCTCCTGTGTAACAAACATAACACATAAGGTTTACCTGAGTCTGTATACATGACCGGCCAGGTGTCCCGTTACCGGCTAGGTCTCCCGTTACCAGCTAGGTCTCCTGTGTAACAAACATAACACATAAGGTTTACCTGAGTCTGTATACATGACCGGCCAGGTCTCCTGTTACCGGCCAGGTCTCCCGTTACCGGCTAGGTCTCCCGTGTAACAAACACAACACATAAGGTTTACCTGAGTCTGTATACATGACCGGCCAGGTCTCCCGTTACCAGCTGGGTCTCCTGTGTAACAAACACAACACATAGGGTTTACCTGAGTCTGTACACATGACCGGCCAGGTCTCCCGTTACCGGCTAGGTCTCCTGTGTAACAAACACAACACATAAGGTTTACCTGAGTCTGTATACATGACCGGCCAGGTGTCCCGTTACCGGCTAGGTCTCCCGTGTAACAAACACAACACATAAGGTTTACCTGAGTCTGTATACATGACCGGCCAGTTGTCCCGTGTAACAAACACAACACAGAAGGTTTACCTGAGTCTGTATATTTTGTTTACAAATTGATAGAAAAATGAGAGTAATACAGAAATAATGCTGACATTAAGAGAGTTTAGATGATTCATTTCCAAGAAATAAAGGAGATTGTCTATCAAATGTTAAGATATAAAAAGTATACATGAAAAGTGTCTGCACGCTAAGACTAGCCATATGTAGCACTTTGTAAAGTTAAAAAACACACACGTACTCTTAATTACAATTGTAAAGAACTATTCAGTCTGTACCTGTTGATCTACATGTGTCTAAGCTATAGATATATGGCTTATGTAGGAAATATACATACCTGAAATCTGAACCCTTATAAATTTAGAAAATAAATCAACCCTACCCCACACTAATTCATGTCATTTCTAAATTTATGTCAACAATGATATAATCACATATCTGTGCAATGGTACCACACAACCAGATCTGCAGTAGCACATTTCATCCAGTTTACCTATTGTTCACAAATCATGCAGACATCATGCACACATTGTGCAGACATCTAGTACACATCACACATCATGTAATGTATCCTTAAAAGTCTGTCTTTTCATCTGCAAAAAAATAATTATTAGCTCATTTGGTCATCTGCTGTCAATGTTTTTCCTTTCAACAACTTCTTCTCAATAACCAGTTGACCAAATGTTTGATGTTTGGCTGGTATGTCCCTAGGATGAAGCCTGACAAAAGGTCGCAAAAGAAATTATCTTGACCTATACATGTATTAAAGGTCACAGGGGTCAGACTTCTTCTTATGAACTAAAAGGCCCAGAGGCATGATCTATTTCGGTATGTGTCTATGATGAAGCTCAACAAAGTTTGCAAAAAGAAATGACCTTGACCTATGTTCAAGGTCACAGGAGTCAAAATTATTAAAACATTTAAACATCATCTTCTCATTAACTAAAAGTCCTAGAGGCATGATATTTGGGCAGGCGAGTACTGCAGACACATTGCGCCTGTTTTTGTACATTATTATTATAAAGTCTGCCTGTTCATCTGTAGAAATGTCATTATTATACATTTTGTATTCTACAAAGTCTGTCTTTGCTACTGCGTTTAGATTTTTTTCTGAGGAAAAAAAAATACCAAGTTAGAAAAATGCTTCCAAATCCTTATGATGAAGTTTCATCTGAACAACTTACAGAGAAAACAGTTTAAAGTAATTAGTTTTGACATTTATAAAATCAAAATTAAAAAAATATCACATTCCTCAAATTGACTAAAAATATTCACATAATCTGCTGTTATGTATTCCTAATGACATTATTGTGTTTTTGGCTTATAAAACTACAAAACAAGCACTATATCTAGCAAAAGATGTAATCAAAATAAAAACCATTAAATATTAAAAGACATGATAGAAAGAAACATAAACTGCTCATTAAATAAACACTTCCTTATAAATGGATAATTGACTGTTGTTATTGAAAGTAGTAATTGGTAAGAATTTTAATTTGTTACTTTCATTGCAATTATAGGAGGACATTGACTTATTGAAAGAGAGAAATGCAGGGGACGAATATCTATTGTACCTGAGACAGGTGAGTTAGTTGAAATTCCTGATGAATGTTGTACCTGAGACAGGTGAGTTAGTGGAGATTCCTAATGAATGTTGTACCTGAGACAGGTGAGTTAGTTGAAATTCCTGATGAATGTTGTACCTGAGACAGGTGAGTTTGTTGAGATTACTGATGAATGTTGTACCTGAGACAGGTGAGTTAATGGAGATTAATTATGAATGTTGTAGACAGGTGAGTTAATGGAGATTAATGATGAATGTTGTACCTGAGACAGGTGAGTAAATTGAGATTCCTGCTGACTATGTCCAAAATATGTTATGGTCTGGCTACTGGAATAACTATGTACTGTATGTTATGGTTTAGTTACTGGAGTAAATATGTACTGTATGTTATGGTCTAGTAACTGGAGTAAATATGTCCTGTATGTTATGGTTTAGTTACTGGAATAACTATGTACTGTATGTAATGGTTTAGTTACTGGAGTAAATATGTCCTGTATGTTATGGTCTAGTTACTGGAGTAAATATGTCCTGTATGTTATGGTCTAATTATGGAGTAAATATGTCCTGTATGTTATGGTCTAGTTACTGGAGTAAATATGTCATGTATGTTATGGTCTAGTTACTGGAGTAAATATGTCCTGTATGTTATGGTCTAATTATGGAGTAAATATGTCCTGTATGTTATGGTCTAGTTACTGGAGTAAATATGTCCTGTATGTTATGGTCTAGTTACTGGAGTAAATATGTCCTGTATGTTATGGTCTAATTATGGAGTAAATATGTCCTGTATGTTATGGTCTAATAAATATGTCTGTATGTTATGTAAATATGTCCTGTATGTTAGTATGGTCTAGTTACTGGAGTAAATATGTCCTGTATGTTATGGTCTATAAATATGTCCTGTATGTTATGGTCTAGTTACTGGAGTAAATATGTCCTGTATGTTATGGTCTAGTTACTGGAGTAAATATGTCCTGTATGTTATGGTCTAGTCACTGGAGTAAATATGTCATGTATGTTATGGTCTAATTATGGAGTAAATATGTCCTGTATGTTATGGTCTAGTTACTGGAGTAAATATGTCCTGTATGTTATGGTCTAGTTACTGGAGTAAATATGTCCTGTATGTTATGGTCTAGTTACTGGAGTAAATATGTCCTGTATGTTATGGTTTAGTTACTGGAGTAAATATGTCCTGTATGTTATGGTCTAGTTACTGGAGTAAATATGTACTGTATGTTATGGTCTAGTAACTGGAGTAAATATGTCCTGTATGTTATGGTTTAGTTACTGGAGTAAATATGTCCTAATTATGGAGTAAATATGTCCTGTATGTTATGGTCTAGATACTGGAGTAAATATGTCCTGTATGTTATGGTCTAGTTACTGGAGTAAATATGTCCTGTATGTTATGGTCTAATTATGGAGTAAATATGTCCTGTATGTTATGGTCTAGTTAATACTGGAGTAAATATGTCCTGTATGTTATGGTCTAGATACTGGAGTAAATATGTCCTGTATGTTAAGGTCTAGATGCTGGAGTAAATATGTCCTGTATGTTATGGTCTAATTATGTAGTAAATATGTCCTGTATGTTATGGTCTAGATACTGGAGTAAATATGTCCTGTATGTTAAGGTCTAGATACTGGAGTAAATATGTCCTGTATGTTATGGTCTAATAATGGAGTAAATATGTCATGTATGTTATGGTCTAGTTACTGGAGTAAATATGTCCTGTATGTTATGGTCTAATTATGGAGTAAATATGTCCTGTATGTTAAGGTCTAGATACTGGAGTAAATATGTCCTGTATGTTATGGTCTAGTTACTGGAGTAAATATGTCCTGTATGTTATGGTCTAGTTACTGGAGTAAATATGTCCTGTATGTTAACGGGAGTAAATATGTCCTGTATGTTATGGTTTAGTTACTGGAATAACTATGTACTGTATGTAATGGTTTAGTTACTGGAGTAAATATGTCCTGTATGTTATGGTCTAATTATGGAGTAAATATGTCCTGTATGTTATGGTCTAGATACTGGAGTAAATATGTCCTGTATGTTATGGTCTAGATACTGGAGTAAATATGTACTGTATGTTATGGTCTAAATATGTATGTTACTGGAGTAAATATGTCCTGTATGTTATGGTCTAATTCTGGAGTAAATATGTCCTGTATGTTATGGTCTAGTTACTGGAGTAAATATGTCCTGTATGTTATGGTCTAGTCACTGGAGTAAATATGTCCTGTATGTTATGGTCTAGTTACTGGAGTAAATATGTCCTGTATGTTATGGTCTAATTATGGAGTAAATATGTCCTGTATGTTATGGTCTAATTATGTCCTGTATGTTATGGTCTAGGAGTAAATATGTCCTGTATGTTATGGTCTAGATATGGAGTAAATATGTCCTGTATGTTATGGTCTAATTATGGAGTAAATATGTCTGTATGTTATGGTCTAGTTACTGGAGTAAATATGTCCTGTATGTTATGGTCTAGTTACTGGAGTAAATATGTCCTGTATGTTATGGTCTAGATACTGGAGTAAATATGTCCTGTATGTTATGGTCTAGTTACTGGAGTAAATATGTCCTGTATGTTATGGTCTAGTTACTGGAGTAAATATGTCCTGTATGTTATGGTCTAGTTACTGGAGTAAATATGTCCTGTATGTTATGGTCTAGTTACTGGAGTAAATATGTCCTGTATGTTATGGTCTAGATACTGGAGTAAATATGTCCTGTATGTTATGGTCTAGTCACTGGAGTAAATATGTCCTGTATGTTATGGTCTAGATACTGGAGTAAATATGTCCTGTATGTTATGGTCTAGTCACTGGAGTAAATATGTCCTGTATGTTATGGTCTAGTAACTGGAGTAAATATGTCCTGTATGTTATGGTCTAATTATGGAGTAAATATGTCCTGTATGTTATGGTCTAATTATGGAGTATGTCCTGTATGTTATGGTCTAATTATGGAGTAAATATGTCCTGTATGTTATGGTCTTATTATGGAGTAAATATGTCCTGTATGTTATGGTCTTATTATGGAGTAAATATGTCCTGTATGTTATGGTCTAGATACTGGAGTAAATATGTCCTGTATGTTATGGTCTAATTATGGAGTAAATATGTCCTGTATGTTATGGTCTAGATACTGGAGTAAATATGTCCTGTATGTTATGGTCTAGTTACTGGAGTAAATATGTCCTGTATGTTATGGTCTAATTGAGTAAATATGTCCTGTATGTTATGGTCTAATTATGGAGTAAATATGTCCTGTATGTTATGGTCTAGATACTGGAGTAAATATGTCCTGTATGTTATGGTCTAATTATGGAGTAAATATGTCCTGTATGTTATGGTCTAATTATGGAGTAAATATGTCCTGTATGTTATGGTCTAATTATGGAGTAAATATGTCCTGTATGTTATGGTCTATTTATGGAGTAAATATGTCCTGTATGTTATGGTCTAGTTACTGGAGTAAATATGTCATGTATGTTATGGTCTAATTATGGAGTAAATATGTCCTGTATGTTATGGTCTAGTTACTGGAGTAAATATGTCCTGTATGTTATGGTCTAATTATGGAGTAAATATGTCCTGTATGTTATGGTCTAATTATGGAGTAAATATGTCCTGTATGTTATGGTCTAATTATGGAGTAAATATGTCCTGTATGTTATGGTCTAATTATGGAGTAAATATGTCCTGTATGTTATGGTCTAGTTACTGGAGTAAATATGTCCTGTATGTTATGGTCTAATTATGGAGTAAATATGTCCTGTATGTTATGGTCTAGATACTGGAGTAAATATGTCCTGTATGTTATGGTCTAGATACTGGAGTAAATATGTCCTGTATGTTATGGTCTAATTATGGAGTAAATATGTCCTGTATGTTATGGTCTAATTATGGAGTAAATATGTCCTGTATGTTATGGACTGGAGTAAATATGTCCTGTATGTTATGGTCTAGTTACTGGAGTAAATATGTCCTGTATGTTATGGTCTAGTTACTGGAGTAAATATGTCCTGTATGTTATGGTCTAATTATGGAGTAAATATGTCCTGTATGTTAAGGTCTAGATACTGGAGTAAATATGTCCTGTATGTTATGGTCTAATATGGAGTAAATATGTCCTGTATGTTATGGTCTAATTATGGAGTAAATATGTCCTGTATGTTATGGTCTAGTTGGAGTGGATGTAAATATGTCCTGTATGTTATGGTCTAGAGTAAATATGTCCTGTATGTTATGGTCTAAATAAATATGTCCTGTATGTTATGGTCTAGTTACTGGAGTAAATATGTCCTGTATGTTATGGTCTAATTATGGAGTAAATATGTCCTGTATGTTATGGTCTAGTTACTGGAGTAAATATGTCCTGTATGTTATGGTCTAGTTACTGGAGTAAATATGTCCTGTATGTTATGGTCTAATTATGGAGTAAATATGTCCTGTATGTTATGGTCTAATTATGGAGTAAATATGTCCTGTATGTTATTAATATGGTCTGGAGTAAATATGTCCTGTATGTTATGGTCTAATTATGGAGTAAATATGTCCTGTATGTTATGGTCTAATTATGGAGTAAATATGTCCTGTATGTTATGGTCTAGATACTGGAGTAAATATGTCCTGTATGTTATGGTCTAATTATGGAGTAAATATGTCCTGTATGTTATGGTCTAGTTACTGGAGTAAATATGTCCTGTATGTTATGGTCTAGATACTGGAGTAAATATGTCCTGTATGTTATGGTCTAATTATGGAGTAAATATGTCCTGTATGTTATGGTCTAGATACTGGAGTAAATATGTCCTGTATGTTATGGTCTAGGAGTAAATATGTCCTGGAGTAAATATGTCCTGTATGTTATGGTCTAGTTACTGGAGTAAATATGTCCTGTATGTTATGGTCTAATTAATAAATATGTCCTGTATGTTATGGTCTAATATGGAGTAAATATGTCCTGTATGTTATGGTCTAGATACTGGAGTAAATATGTCCTGTATGTTATGGTCTAATTATGGAGTAAATATGTCTGGAGTCTAAATATGTCCTGTATGTTATGGTCTAATTATGGAGTAAATATGTCCTGTATGTTATGGTCTAATTATGGAGTAAATATGTCCTGTATGTTATGGTCTAATTATGGAGTAAATATGTCCTGTATGTTATGGTCTAATTATGGAGTAAATATGTCCTGTATGTTATGGTCTAGATACTGGAGTAAATATGTCCTGTATGTTATGGTCTAATTATGGAGTAAATATGTCCTGTATGTTATGGTCTAGATACTGGAGTAAATATGTCCTGTATGTTATGGTCTAGTTACTGGAGTAAATATGTCATGTATGTGGAGTAAATATGTCATGTATGTTATGGTCTAGTTATTGGAGTAAATATGTCCTGTATGTTATGGTCTAGATACTGGAGTAAATATGTCCTGTATGTTATGGTCTAATTATGGAGTAAATATGTCCTGTATGTTATGGTCTAATTATGGAGTAAATATGTCCTGTATGTTATGGTCTAGTTACTGGAGTAAATATGTCCTGTATGTTATGGTCTAGTTACTGGAGTAAATATGTCCTGTATGTTATGGTCTAATTATGGAGTAAATATGTCCTGTATGTTATGGTCTAGATACTGGAGTAAATATGTCCTGTATGTTATGGTCTAATTATGGAGTAAATATGTCCTGTATGTTATGGTCTAGTTACTGGAGTAAATATGTCCTGTATGTTATGGTCTAGATACTGGAGTAAATATGTCCTGTATGTTATGGTCTAGATACTGGAGTAAATATGTCCTGTATGTTATGGTCTAGTTACTGGAGTAAATATGTCCTGTATGTTATGGTCTAATTATGGAGTAAATATGTCCTGTATGTTATGGTCTAGTTATGGAGTAAATATGTCCTGTATGTTATGGTCTCGTTAGGTAACCTTGCATATTCTTCATTGCAGATATTCGCATTACTAGATGAAAACTCGGATGACATACTTACTAAACAAGAGCTTAAGGATGCACCACCAGAGGTATGTAAAGTTTTCTGTCGTTTTAACCATTGTGTTATCTCTGATGTATCCTTTGTAAAAGTTTCTTACCTGTTTAACTTGTTACTGAATTTATGTTAAGATTGTTTTTGTTACAGAACTGGACTCGGATCCAAAAAGTGATGATGGAGATGGATAGTTATTTGGACAGGACACTTGGTGTCCCTGAAGATAGTCCACATGATGAATTGTAATGAGGACATACACCATATCAACAACACCTCAGGCTATAACAGTTGGACACCATATCAACAACACCTCAGGCTTTAACAGTTGGACACCATATCAACAACACCTCAGACTATAACAGTTGGACACCATATCAACAACACCTCAGACTTTAACAGTTGGACACCATATCAACAACACCTCAGGCTATAACAGTTGAACACCATATCAACAACACCTCAGGCTTTAACAGTTGGACACCATATCAACAACACCTCAGACTATAACAGTTGGACACCATCTCAAAAACACCTCAGACTATAAAAGTTGGACACCAGATCAACAACACCTCAGGCTATAACTGTTGGACACCATATCAACAACACCTCAGACTATAACAGTTGGACACCAGATCAACAACACCTCAGGCTATAACAGTTGGACACCATATCAACAACACCTCAGACTATAACAGTTGGACACCATATCAACAACACCTCAGGCTTTAACAGTTGGACACCATATCAACAACACCTCAGACTATAACAGTTGGACACCATATCAACAACACCTCAGGCTTTAACAGTTGGACACCATATCAACAACACCTCAGACTATAACAGTTGGACACCATATCAACAACACCTCAGGCTATAACAGTTGGACACCATATCAACAACACCTCAGGCTATAACAGTTGGACACCATATCAACAACACCTCAGACTATAACAGTTGGACACCATATCAACAACACCTCAGGCTTTAACAGTTGGACACCATATCAACAACACCTTCTCATAGAGGAATTTAAAATCTACTGATTTTAGTATCTGGGGTCAAAGGTCACTTAGTTTTCACTTTAATTAAGAGAAATCATGAGAAGGAGGATATGATTCAACTTCTTGTATTGTGTTTAGAAGTGAAAGATTGGGTCACAGTGATGACTTTAAATGAAATAGATATGAAGTTATATTACCATTGATGGAATGCTTTTCAAGGTGGGTAATGATGCTAATTTTTGAAATATATTTTGATGAATCTTTGTCAAAGATCAATAGCTTCCATGAGGAGATATCAGGTGGATATATTTACAGATGTTAGAGTTGATATAGAGTTGATATCTTTACTGTCTACCTATCACTAATCAATGATACTTAGTATTGGGATTAAAGCTACAAATGGTAGGAACTTTGTAACTTCATGAAGTTAATTTGTGCCAACTCTAGTATAAAAATGTGTAATAATGATGACAACTATTGATGAAATTATATTTTATTGAATTATTTACAAACTTAAAGATTTGTAATAGTTTTATCTCATGTTTTTTGTTTTGATTGTATTTCTATCACATCTGTCTGTGGTCAGAACTGCTTTTGTATATTACTTATGTGAGTGAGGGAGAATGGACAGACATCAATACTGTAGAGATTTTTATGTGAATGTGAATGAGGAAGAAAGGACAAAAATGGATGCTGTAGAGATTTTTTTATGTGGATGTGAGAGAGAGAATGGATAGATATGGATGCTGTAGAGATTTTTTTATGTGGATGTGAGTGATGGAGAATGGACATACATGGATGCTGTATAGAATTTTTATGTGGATGTGAGTGAGAGAATGGACATACAATCAGCGTGACCAATCACTCAACAACATATACCATTCCTTATTGATACATTACTTCCTTTATTTCAATACACATCATACACAGCATCTATGAGTGGCTACGACACTTTCATGCTGATATGAGGGAAAATGCAAAGATATGGATGGTGTAAAGATTTTTATGTAGATGTGAGTGAGGAAGAAAGGACAGACATGGATGCTGTAGAGATTTTTATGTGGATGTGAGTGAGGAAGAAAGGACAGACATGGATGCTGTAGAGATTTTTTATGTAGATGTGAGTGAGAGATTGAACAGGTATCGTAGTTGTAGAGATGATTTTTAAGAAGCAGTGCATCTTATAGCCATCACCCAGATCAGAGCTTGCTAGGCTATTTATAGCACAAAATACCCAAAAAGCACATATACCTCTACGGAAAGGATGTAAAATATGTCTTGAAATAAGTTCATGAAGTAGTTAATGCTGTTATATAAGATAAATAGATAAAAGAGAAAATGCGAAAATGTTACAAGACATCATGTTTTATATGACAACTTGGAGCTATTTCACACAGTTATTACCACACTTCTCTGTTTGGAAGAAAATCCATGTCATCTACGCTGTTTGATTTACCTCCCTTCGTCCACACTGATGGAGTTTCTTTTACACCAGTTAAGATGCTATAAAATCATAATTCCAAGAAGTATAAAGATGTTAGATTATTTTCAGTTACCTGGTATTCTCTGGAAGATATAAGTGTTGCTTAGATGATCATACCTATTTGAGAGGGTAACTGATTTCCAACAATTATAACACAGGATGTTTGTATTTGTTTAATTTTCAGTAGGCCTATCACCACAGACCTCCAAAATCAAGTTTCTGACAAGATTTCTGGAATAAATGTTTGTAATACTTTTCTTTTTTTGATAGAAAGTTATATATTTGATAACATAAATTAATTGAAAAGTTTGTGAAAACTTTAATATAAATATAGATATAAACTTTATTTATTTTACAACAATTGCAAAACAAGTTATTTCAACTTATACTAATCATTTTTGTTGGCCCGGATGTATGCGCACCAGGGGTCTTATTGTGGGAGGAAACCGGACTACCCGGGAAAAACCCACATGGTCGGGCAAGTGACCCCTTACCTTTTCACGTCCGTTCTAGGAATCGAACCCTGGACGGCTAGGTGAAACGCAAGTGCATTACGACTGCACCACCTGACCACTTATGTATGAAAACTTTAATATGAAAAAACACTGACTAGTGTAGAGTTAGCTTTTTATGGTAAATGACTGTTGGGATTTTTTTATGTGGATGTAGTGAAAGGATGGACAGATATGGAGGGTGTAGATTTATTGATGTGGATGTAGTGAGAGGATGGACAGATATGGAGGGTGTAGATTTATTGATGTGGATGTAGTGAGAGGATGGACAAATATGGAGGGTGTAGATTTATTGATGTGGATGTAGTGAGAGGATGGACAAATATGGAGGGTGTAGATTTATTGATGTTGATGTAGTGAGAGAATGGACAGATATGGAGGGTGTAGAAAATACATTAAGCAGTATTTATACTTTTTCATCATGTGCTGTATAATGAACTTCTGATGTCTGTGATATCTAATATAGTTTGTGAACATGTTCAATCTATTGTATGTCGTTTTCTGTGCTGCCAAAACATGGAACCCTGGTAAAGTAAAACACATTGATACGAGTAACACACTATACTAAGGGTCACAACTTTTATAAACTCTTGTGCTGATGGGGTGCTATCATTTCAATGATATAGAAATCCAGAAATATTTTGTAAATGTTTGTTAAAATTTTTATATTTATAGGTTATGTTTTACTTGTCTAACCTGAATGTGTTGGATTATGTAATAAATAAGGATGTTGTCACAAAGTCAAAAGAGAAATACATATATATTTAATATTCATGACATTTGTCTGTTAGTAGTGCATCTGTCCTCTGTTCTTTAGTTCATGTATGAGTTTGTTTATGATGCATATATATATATATAATCAATTAAGTAATAACAACAGTACAGACAAGTGAATTGTCAAATTTTCAAGGCAACCTGCCCCTTCATCAAGACACAAATATTACATAAATTACATCACATACATAGAACATAAAAGAAATGCAAAGTGATATATCTAAATCGAGAGCAGTTGTGTAAAGTAAGGTGCCTCATAAATGCCTTCGGCCTATGGAAGCCGAAGGCCCATTATAGCAGACATTTGTTTGTTAGGATCCAGTACCAATATTGGCCCATACCGTTGATATTACTTACTAGATTCTATATATATATATATACACAAACAGGAACGATTTTGACAGGAGATCTTAAACCTTCGGATCAAGATACATTACTGTATATGATGCTTCATGTTAATTTAGGTTGGGATGGTGAATTTGGTAAGGCAGTTGTCATATTTCTTGGCTAGGCGATTGATGCTGTTTGATGCTTTAGGTTGTGAGTTTTAGGTCCGGATAGGGAATGAGCCAAAATTGTTTTCAAAGAACACACCTCTAACCTGTTTTGATTGAGTCTCCTGATTTATATATATTTTTGAAAGATAATGTATCATATACCAAAAGTAGGTCATTGTGACCTTTATTTGACTTTGACATCATAAGCCAAAAATGTACTCCTGAGCTTATCTGGTATATTTGATGTGTGATCATTAGAATTTTGGATACATGTACATCCTGAGAAGATGGTGTTTTGTATTTGGGCTTTTTAGACCTTTAGAAGAAGAATATCAGATTCTTGTCGTGTGCTAGTCTGAATTATTTTGACATTCTATTGACTTTTTCATTTGGTTCTGGTGTAGATGTCAGAAAACCGATGTCCTAAAAATTTCCCTCCCCGTGAAATACTCATCTGAATAGAAATTTTTTATGAAACTTGCCCTATAGAAAGTGAGGGAGTTAAGCGACCTGTGCCTGAGTCAGCATTTAAACTGTGGAAAGAAATAGTACCCGGGTAATATTCACCTGCATGTTGCACACAGATCTAGATGTCTACTGTCTCTACAAGTTGATACCAGTGTGATGCTGTAAAGTCCACTACAAGTGTAGACTTACAAACTTTTCCTGTACCTACTGACATTTTGATGGAAATTAGGACAGGAACTTGACCATGTGACTTAATGAAGTATTTCTCCAAATCATGACGTGTGTTAATATACTACAAAAATTAACACATACTCTTAGCTTTATTTTACTAACAAAATGAGTGTCTCTCAGTAAATGTCACTCTTTTTAAATCTTAAATAACTGCCTACTGTTACTACAGTTTTAATGCCATGTTTCCATCAGATACTTAAAATGTGAAGTTGGAGAGTAAATTATTGTTGTTTGCATTATGGTCTGTCCCAAGAAGCAACAAGACTTCAGACAAGTGACTAGAGAAGGAGTGTCAAACACAAGCATAAACTAATTAATGTAAGTCGGAGGAAACTACATTTACCGAGTGTATTGTGAAATCTGCTGGGTTTGAAACCCTGTAAGGAACAGACCTTTCCATCACATTTTCGTTGTCTTTTTATAGGGCTAGCATTCTGAGGTATATCTTCAGGCTGACAAATCCAATATAGAACCTCAGAATAACCTAGACTTCCCCTGGCCTTGTGGGGTCTTAGAGTT